CTTTTAGTTGCCAGCCTTTTAGTTGCCAGCCTTTTAGTTGCCAGCCTTTTAGTTGCCAGCCTTTTAGTTGCCAGCCTTTTAGTTGCCAGCCTTTTAGTTGCCAGCCTTTTAGTTGCCAGCCTTTTAGTTGCCAGCCTTTTAGTTGCCAGCCTTTTAGTTGCCAGCCTTTTAGTTGCCAGCCTTTTAGTTGCCAGCCTTTTAGTTTTTGGACGAAGCCGACTTTTCTGTTCTTAGCTGAAGGCTACCCTGTGCTCTTGATTAAAACCGAATTTTCAGCCTTTGGCTAAAGCTCACCTTTTAGCCAAAGGCTGACCAAGGAGTTTTTGCGGCCAGTCCCCGACCAAAGAAAGCCTTTTTTGTAGAAAAAAAGTCTTTTTGTTGAGTTTGGCAGGACTTGAACCTGCACTCACTGGATTAAAAGTCCAATGCTTTACCTTTAAGCTACAAACCCTTAAAAGAGTATCAGGGTTTATTAAGAGTTTAGCCATTTGCATTCAAATGAAAATTTAATTGAGAGAACTAAAGACGCATAAGCAAACCCCGGTGAAACGAGGGTTAATGATTTTTGGCTAAAGGAACCAAACCTCGAAAGGCTTTTTAGACCCTAGACTTTTGACCTTTAGGTCCTAAAGGTCCTTTAGCCTCTTTCGTTTTTAAAGAACTAAAGGAATCTATTGCCGAGTGTCTTTGGTTTAAATAGGGCCTAACGGCTAGGGCCACTTAGGTGGCCCTCTAGGCTGTCTTTGACGGACAAGCCATTTTTGATGGCTCGGACATCTTAGATGTGGAGAGCCACTTAAGTGGCTAAGTCACCTAAAGACGGCCTAAAGGAACAACAACCGTGGCCTTGGGCTACTAAGGTAGCCCGAAGGCCCCCGGCCTTAGGGCCGCTTTGGCGGGCTAGCTATCGAAGATAGCTAGCCATTGTCGATATTCAGAGAGCATAAAGCATATCCTTGTTTGAATGATAAGGCTTGGTTTCAATGGATGTAGATCTAATCAATTCAAAGATTTTTAGCAGAGGAAGGAATCGAACCTTCGTCGATGGGTTATGAATCCATAGCTCTCCCATTAAGCTAGTAGAGGTCAGAAGAAGATCCGTGGAGACAGGGTCATTATGCAGACCGAGTCTGCATGTGGACAGAGTTTCCTTAGGATATGTTTCATGCGATTCAACGCATGAAAAGTACTCAAACTGCCCTTAGAACCGTACGTGAATCTTTCGATTCATACGGCTCGCCAGTTATTATAAAAACTTAAACAAAATAGTTTAGATAGCTTGAATAGCTTAACTAGTTTAAGTTGTTTAAGTAGTGGAAAGCTTTCATATCATATGAAGGTATTGTAATTGTTGACGAATAACCTTATATGATTCCACTACGCAAGCAGAAAATGTATAGCTGTCACTTTAAAAAATGCTTTTTTTACAAATGTAGGTTTTTGTTGCGTATTATTATATCTGCATTGACGTATTTAAAGTTGTATTATACTTATTATAGCTTAATGACTACAAACTCTGCTTGAGTTTTTTAACAACCTGCTCTACTTTAGAAGTGCAGTATGCACGGTTAGTAATTACCTAACATTGTCCTTACTACGAGAGCTCCGTTCCCATAAAACCTTTCGGTTATTTCATGAACAAGTTCATGAAGCATATTTTTTATGCGCTCTAGTTACCTAAGGTGGCCGGGGCTTTCTGCCCCTCGCGCACATAAAACATTTCTTTAGGCAATCCTGCGGTTCCGTTGTTTATGTGATCTGTTGGGTTAGGCTCCTGTACGCTTTTGCCATCTGGATAGGTGGCTCTAGGGCCCAAGGCCCTCGGACGAGGGCCTTGGGGTCTATAGGGCCGAAGGCGAGAGCCCCTTAAGGGCTCTAGTGGGCCTTTGGCCCAAGACCCTCGACCTTTAGGTCCTAAGGCCCTAGAAGGCCTTTGGCCTAAGGGCCATCTCGGATGGCGCACGGTTCACTATCTTCGCTAGACTTTTTTCGCAGTGTGTAAAAAAGTCATGTGCCAAATAATTCTAAAAAAGGATTTAACGCGCCTGTAGCGCATAAAGGCCCCGGTCGATGTTCTCTAGGGCCATCTAAGATGGCTAAGGCCACTTTAGTGGCTTTCTAGGGCCTTAGGGCCTAAAGGTCGAGGGTCTTTAGACCCTAAGGCCCTAAGGCCAAAGGCCTTCTAGGCAGCCGCCTTCGGCGGCCTTCGCCCGAAGGACGCCTAAGTGTCCTTCGTCCCTGAGGACCTCGTTGATTCCTCTAGGAACCAAAGGTCCTAGCCCTAGCCCAAGTGGATCTTCAATGGATTTAAAGGGCATCCAGGAAGTTTTGAATTACTGCATGTTTTTTCACGAATAGCGTATTTTTTACAGGTTCATTAACTTAGCCTAGCTATGGTGCTTGACATTTTAGATGTTGAGCTATCTTTGATAGCTAGCCATCTTTGATGGTTAGGTTGTCGAAGACGGCCTAGGGCCACCTAAATGGCCGAGGGTCGCTTTGGCGGCCGGGGACATCTTAGATGTCCCACCGGGCTACTAAGGTAGCCCTTGGGCCTAAAGGCCCTCTAGGGATCCTTAAGGGGTCTAGGGCCAAAGGCCCTCGGAGGCCGCGACCGCGGCTCTTCGGTAACCCCGAAGGCCTTTGGCCTTAGGGCCCTAAGGCCTTTGAGACACTAAGGTGTCTCTTGGGCTACTTAGGTAGCGAGGGCCCCTTCGGGCCCTAGTGCGCCACCTTAGTAGTGGCGCAAGGGCCATCTTAGATGGCCCTCGCCTGAAGGCCGCGAGGGACCCCTTAGGGGTCTTGGGCCACCTAAGTGGCCTTAGCCTTAAGCTATCTAACGATGGCTCGTCATCTTCAATGGTTATACCAACCCTAGCTTGCCAATGTGTTTGGTGACAACGGGGGGGGGACCCGAGGGCCGCCAGAGGGACCCCCTAAGGGGTCCCTAAGGCGGCTGCCTAGAGGGCCATTAGTTCCTCGTCACTCTCACGGCTTTGATTCCCGCTTTGAACTCCACTGTTTTCAGTGGCATCCAGGGAAGTGCTTGACTACAAGAACACGAAGACAGTGTAGGTGAATTCTCATTCACTACATAAACAACAGCACCGCAGCGCACCACTGCCAGACAAGAGAGGCGTTTCAAATCTCAAACTTTTGGCTTTAAAAATCGTTGGACGTCTCTAATAACCTACAGTTCTTGTCTTAAAGAACCTGAAGCGCTAGATTGGGTGGTTTGGGGGATGAAAGACTTAGAAAAATGACAGCGTTTGGAAAACAAAAATCAAAACTACGTTAAACAAAAAGCCAGCTAAAGTCAAGGGAAGGAAAGTAGGGGTCAGAAGAAGCGTCCACAGGGCTTCTGGGCACTTAGGATCTAAAACTGCCCTCAGAACCGTACTTGAACTTTTCAATTCATACGGCTCGCCAGTTGCTAAAAGATTAGGGATTCTCTTTAGGGCCGCTTTGGCGGCTTAGGGCCGGGGGCCCTTGGGCCTCTTAGGGGCCCTCGTGGTGGTAAGTCTTGAAAATATTGCATTCGTAGCTATCAGTTATTTTGTTTCTGAGAATTAGAGCACATGACGTAATTGTCATTGCTATATGTGATATCTATTTTACGAGTTTAAATCATGGAGTCTTTGCGTTGGGATGTTTTTTTTATTTTGATTTGTGTTTTGATTGGTATTATAATTATTGTTATTGCGATTTCAAGATCATAAACTCACTTTAATATTAGCAACCTGCTCTGCTTTGGAAGTGCGAGTGCACGGTTAGTGTTATCTAACATTATCCCTACTATAAGAGCTCCGTTCCCATAAAATTTTTTGGTATCTTCATGCATTAAGGGCCGTCAAAGACGGCCTAAGGCCAGAGGCCTTCGGGGTAACCCCGAGGGCCTTTAGGCCCTAGGGCATAAAGCATATCCTTAGAGAATCCTGCAGTTCCGTTGTTCATGTGATCTGTTGGGTTAGGCCCCTGTACGTCTTCGTCATCTGGATAGGTGGCTTTTGCGTCATAAAGATGGCTAGGCCGCCCTCGACGCAAAGGCTACCCTCAGATAGCTCTTTTGGTTCCTAAGGAGCCCTTAGGGCCCTTGCGCCACCCAAGTGGCCCTAGAACCCACGAGACCGTTGGTTCTCCTTAGGAACTAAAGGCTCTAGTTTCACTATCTTCGCTAGATTTTCTTCGGCTGTTATAAGAAAACCATGTGCCAAAAAATTCTTGAGGGCATGGTCGATGTTCTGTAGGGCCTAAAGGCCCTTGTCAAATGACCTAGCGAATATCTGGGACATGCTTGATGCGCCTTTGTGCATCAAGGTATGCTTGATGCGCCTTTGTGCAGCAAGGAAAGTATGAATTACTGTGTGGCTTGTCACGGACAGCGTATTTATCAGGTTTATTAACTTAGCCATACCAATTCTAGCTTGCCAATGTATCTAGCGGCAACTCGAGGGCCTTAGGGCTCTCCGGGCTACTAAGGCAGCGAGGGCCCCTTAGGAACCAAAGGCCCCTTAGGGGGTCCCTCTAGCCACCTTAGGTGGCTCGCGGCCGAGGGCCTAAGGCCCTCCGGGCCACTAAAGTGGCCTTAGCTGCTTTGGCGGGCGAGGGCCACTTTAGGTGGCCCCCGGCTAGCGACCATAGCTAGAACATCTTAGATGTCCCACGAGGGCCTTTGGTTCCTAGTGGGGCCTTAGGCCCCTGGGGACACTAAGGTGTCCCACTAGGGCCCCTAAGGGGGCCCTCGCCACCCAAGTGGCCCTCGAACCAACGAGGCCCTAAGGCCAAAGGCCTTCGGGCTACCTAAGGTAGCCCAAGGCCACCAAAGTAGCTCTTGTCACTTGCACGGCTTTCAACTCCGCTTTGAACTCCATCGTTTCCAATGGCATTCAGGACATGCTTGATGTGGGATGCTTGAAAAGGCATCCACAGAGGCGCTTCACTACAAGAACACGAAGACGGCGTAGATGAATTCTCATTCACAACATGAACAACAGCGCAACAGCGCACACAGTCCAGCCAAGAGTCATGAGCTGATCATAGCGATAACGAGGGAGAGTGGCTCTAACCCAAACAAACATGAACAAGACCAAAAGGGTTTTTAGAGAGAGCCAAAGAGCGCCTGGTAAAAAAGACAGAATGGCTAGAGGTGCTCCAGTTCCACCTAAGAAAAGAAGACTGGTGACTGTACTCATAAGAATTAGGTTAGCATATTCAGCAATAAAGAACAAAGCAAATCCCATGGAACTGTACTCGACGTTATAACCGGCAACCAACTCAGCTTCCGCTTCGGGTAAGTCAAAAGGCGCTCTGTTGGTTTCAGCTAAACAGCAAATCATCCAAATAACTCCTAGAGGCCACAGTGGAAGTAGAAACCATACCCATTGCTGAGTTTCAACCAAAACTGTCCAGTTCAAGCTATTGGCAACCACTGCTGTGGTTAAGACAATAAGTCCCATTGGTAATTCATAGCTAATCATTTGGGCAACAGAGCGGCAACACCCTAAAAAAGCGTATTTACTGTTGCTAGCCCATCCCGCCAGAAGGATCCCATAGACTCCAAGACTTCCAATGGCTAGGAAATACATTGTGCCTAAGTTTAGATCACTGACCGCTCCTGCGGAACTGGTCGGCAATGCTGCCCAAGCTGCTTGACTGGTCAAAAAAGTCAGCACTGGCGCCCACATAAACAGAGGCTGGTCAGCTGTGCTGGGTAAAATGGGCTCTTTCAACAAAAGTTTAAGACCGTCAAAAAAGGGCTGGAGCAGACCTCCAAAACCCCAGACGTTGGGCCCTTGTCGACGCTGCATGGCTCCCATGACACGACGTTCTACCAGGGTTAAGAACGCCACTGCCAGAAGCAGAGGGACCACAGTCGCAAGAACTTGCACTAATACATAGACAGTCATGATTGAATCTTTTTATGATTTGACTTTTAACAAAGATTGAAAACGCATGAAAAGATTAGTGAATACAGGTAGATTCTTCACATAGACTAAAGAGAACAACCATGAAAAGATTATTAACCACCTGGTTGATCATAGTAAGGAAACTCTGAGTTGTTTGAGAAAAAGAGTGGTTAAAAACCACCAAAAACATAAAGGGCGAACAGTGGGGTTTGAACCCACGTGCTTTGGATCCACAATCCAATGCTAAACCACTTAGCTATGTTCGCCATGGTGCATTTGACATTCTACATAAACCATTGGCCGTGAATCATATAGAATTTATACAATGAGGGTCTTAGGGCCTTTAGGCCCTCTAGGGCCACCTAAGTGGCCCTTGCCCTGCTCAAAATTAAAAAAGAAGGTTTGTCTTTTCTCCAAAAAATCAAGCAAATATTAAGTTATTCTGGATGGCAACACTTTAAACATTCCCATGTTGATTTTTTTCATAGAGTTATTTTGGCTTTTACAACACGTTTCCAGATGACGCGGGCAGGATTTGAACCTGCGAAGACACTGTCACTAGATTTACAGTCTAGCGCTTTTAACCACTCAGCAACCGAGTCTACATAACCAAATCTTAATCAAAACCTTCACCTAAATCAAGTTTAGGCTTTTTTTTAGAGTTCCAAAAGAGAAAATCTAGCCTAAAACGTCAGCCTAATGTAAATACTTAACCTTTCAGTTTTCACAGAGCACAGGCTTCATGAACAAGTTCATGAAAAGAAATCCTGGCTTTTTCTATAAAAATCAGCCTTTCATGACCTCTTTAGTTTTGCGGCCACTTTGGTGGCTTAGGCCCTCGGGGCCTCGACATCTAAGATGGCGGGACATCTATGATGTCGAGCCACCTAAGGTGGCTAGGCCGTCGAAGACGGCCTAGGGCCAAAGGTCCTCGGGTTACAAAGGACCCCTTAAGGGTCCCGGGGGGGACCCCCCGAAGGCCCTAGGCCCCATCTTCGATTGCGAGGGCCCGGGTCCCTAGAGGTCTATCTTTAATGGACCGTGGGTGGGGCCTTTGGCCCCGTCTTCGATTGCCCAAGCGCCGTCTGGGATGCGGCTTTTCAGCTGAAATACTCGCTAAACCTTATGTAAAGCTTCAACTCTTTGCACAAAAAAGGACTCTTAATGACCTCTATGTTTTTCCTTTTGAGTACAGGGGCTTGGATGAGCGCAGCTCTTGTTTTGCGCTCTAAAAACCCCGTGCACTCTGTGTTCTACCTAGTCCTCACCTTTTTGCATGCTTCCGGCCTGTTGGTGTTGTTAGGTCTAGAGTTCTTTGCTCTTTTGCTCTTGTTAGTATATATTGGAGCACTGGCAATCATGTTTCTTTTTGTGGTCATGCTATTGGATATTCCAGCCACCGAGCTAATGGCTCATCAGCGCGGTGCTTATCCAGTGGCAGGCCTTTTGTTTGTAACGCTAGTGATTTCCCTTGTGGGCCTTCTTTGGCAACCAGTAGAGACCAGTCCTTTGGTAACTCCATTGTGGCCAGTTGTTCAGGGAGGTCCTTTGGGATTGGAATTTCCAGAGACTTCTTGGCAAACAGCTGCCATGTCTCATTCTGCTCTGGCACAATTAGGAGTGGCCCTCTACGGAGTTCATGTAGACTTGCTTTTGTTAGCGAGCTTGCTACTTTTAGTAGCAATGATTGGAGCCGTTGCATTAACCCTAACCCGACGTGTGCACGCACCTCTGCACGACGTGTTTGCTCAGCAGTCTGTGGATTACCAAAAAGTTGTATCTCTAGTTCAACAATCAACACAAGCAAAGACGTTTACATAGAGCACAGCTCAAAAAATAGAGCACTGCTTAAAAAACAGAGCACTGCTCAAAAAACAAAGCACGGTTTTTAGTGTTCCAAAAATCAACCACTCACAAAAGTGTTCAAAAAACACAGCACAGCTAATGTTGTTCAAAAAGCAAAGCACAACCTTTGATGGCGTCTGGCTTTGAATTGAAGCCAGTGCAAAACTCTCAGAGTGCTCTCAAATGTTGTATGTGAAACCATAACCCAAAAGAAATACTCTAGCATTCTTGCCAGAAAAAATACTTTAACATGAATGTCAGAGCCACATTTTGGTCTTTAGACCAAAACAAACACTCTGGCGCCTTTGCCAAAAGCAAAAACCAGCGAGGGACCCCCAAAGGGGTCCCCCCCGACCTTTTAGGGGTCCCCCGAGAGCCCGAAGGCCTTTGGCCTTAGGGCCTTTTTAGGGGCCGTTGGTTCGAGGGCCTAAAAGCCCTCAGAGGAACCAAAGGGGCTCTAGAGGGCCTTTAGGCCCTAGCGCCCTTTTAATTTTTTATGACAGCCTCTGTTCGTTCTTTCCGTGTAAGCCTTTGGGCACAACCGCTTCTATCCGTAGTGCAAACCCATCTGATTACCTATCCAACTCCATCTAACCTAAGTGGAAACTGGAATTGGGGAGTTCTAGCAGGCCTTTGCCTAGTTTTAGTGCGCCGCTGTGCTGCTATTCATGCCGTGGGAGAAATAACCATCTGCACAATCTTCGCAAAAGAAAAAAAAATAACAAAAAAATAGAAAAAAAAGAAAATAAATAACTCAAAATTAACTCTTTTTGCAGTAAAGCGCTTTCCCGGGATGCCGCCTAATAACGGAGTCCTAAGCGGGAATGAAAGCCGAGGGGGGGGAACGAGCGAGAAAATCTCCAAAACAGAAAACCCCGGCAAGCTAAAGTTGATATGGCTAAAAAAATGTATAAAAAAAAAAAATAAACCTGGAAATATATCGTCCGTGATAAAGGCACGCTCCAATCTATAACTCGCCTTAGAGATTGGAAGACACATGGGCCCCTCTTCCGTAAAACTGGAGAGCCCCGCGAAGATAAGTGAATCTGGACCCACCTAGCGGGATGGGAAAGATATACAGGAGCCTAAGTCAACATTTTGCATGCATAACGGAACTGATGGGACTGCCTGAGGGTTTTTGATTGATAATAGATATCTTACTAATAAACTATCAAGAAGACGTTCTTGAAAAACACACGGACACGATACTACTTACCAAACAATTACAATACCTTGAACATGTCCAAGGAATAAACGAAAGTTTCTCAGGGAACGGAGCTCTGATAAAAATAGGGATAATGGTGAGTAATTCCATCCGCACAGGTTAACCCGTGCTCCCGAAGGAGAGCAGGAAAAACTAACAACGAAAGACAAGTAGCCATGAAGCCCCGGTGGTTCTAAGGCCGCTTGGGCGGCCTTCTAGAGCCCTTAAGAGGGCTCTCGCCTCTGGCCCCATTCGCCACTAGGAAAGGGGGCGGCGGCATGTTCTGTCTCAGTTGAGGAAAATAACATAAAAACATATCACTTATACACCTCAGATTAGGATTCTGGCGAGCCGTATGAATTGAAAGGTTCACGTACGGTTCTGAGGGCAGCTTGATAATTCTAAAGGGCGGATACCCTAAGCAGCCTACGGGCCGACTTAGCCCCAATGAGTTCGACCATGCATAGCATGGAAACGACACCCCAAGGACATCCTCCTGACCCCTACCAAATGGCAACAGGTGTTTTTCTAGCCATGCATTATGCAGCACACGTGGATCTTGCTTTTCACAGCGTTCAGCATATTATGCGTGATCTCTCCAATGGTTGGCTATTACGTTATCTACATGCCAACGGCGCAAGCTTGTTCTTTGTGGTAGTCTACATGCACCTGTTTCGTGGTCTTTATTACACCAGTTACGCTCAACCACGTGAACTGGTGTGGTTATTAGGAATTGTTATTCTTCTAGTAATGATTTTGACCGCCTTCATTGGTTATGTGTTACCCTGGGGGCAGATGTGTGCGCCGCAGTGCTGTTATTTATGCCGTGAATAAAAATCACCTACATCATCTTCGCAAGCTTTTATTTAAAAAATAAAAACTTTGTAGTAAAGCACTATCCCAGAATGCCATTAAAATGGAATTCGAAGCGGGATTGAAAGCCGAGATGGGGGTGGTGAGATACCCCTATAGTCCAGCAAATGGAACCTCTGGCAAGCTAAAGTTGACATGGCCAATAAATGAAAAAAATAAACCTGAAATACGTCATCCGTCATAGACCCCCGCAATAATTCATAACTCACCTTAGGAATTATGTGGCATGTGAGCTCCCTTTCGACATCTGAGGAGAGCCCCGCGAAGATTAGTGCACAGGAGCCACCTAGCAGGCTGGTTAAGATCTACAGGAGCCTAAATCAACACTTTGCATAAATAACGGAACTGCGGGACTGCCTGTGAAGATTTGTATGATACTGGATATCAACTAATACATGCCCTAGAATTCGTTCATGGAAATATATTTATGAGAAACTAGATATCTAGCAAATGAGCTTCCAGAAAAATATTTCTTGGAAACTAACCAAAGTCACACAGGGAACGGAGCTTTAATACTAGGGAGAATGGTGAGTAACGGCACCCGCACAGAATAAGACCTGTGCTCCCAAAGAAAAGCAGGAATCGTTAACTACATAAAGGCAAGCAACCATGAAGCCCCGGTGGTTCTAGGGCCACTTTGGTGGCCCGTGGGCCACTAAGGTGGCCCGGAGGGCCCTTAGGCCCTCGACCCCTAAGGGGTCCCTAGAGCCCTTAAGGTAAGGGGGCTCTCGCGAGGGCCGCGAGGCAGCCGCCTTTGGCGGCCCTCTAGGGCCACCAAAGTGGCCCTCGCGGCTGCCGGGGTCCCCCCCCGAGGGCCCTCAGGCCCTAAGGCCCCGTTAGCCACCAGGTACAGGGGCGGCGATGTGTTCTGTCTAAGTAGAGGTTATTAAATAAAAAAAAATAATAAGAAACATAAAACGAGAAAAGACATGTGAAAAAAATATATAAAAAAAAAGAAAGCAAACACATCCACTAAACAGAGACCCTAAACAAAAACAAAAATTTATGACTTTTATTGCTTCTGTGTATTGTGCCTTGGTCTAAAGCCAGGTTACTATTGTACCCGTCGGTCTGGCTAAGTACTTTTTTGTCAACCGGACTCAAGTCCTGCCTTACGGCACGAAGTTGATTCGCAAGGCAAAAAATAAAATCAGAGAACACAAAGAACTTATGAAAAAGGTTGGAGTCGCCAAATTGCAATTTATCCTCGACCAAGCAACTAGTGACGAGAAACGACACTACGACCTTATCCAAAAAATCAGCGACTTCAAACTACTGATCCAAGTCTACGAGCTAATTAAGCCTAACCCGGGCAACATGACTAAGGGGTCCAGTGATGAAACCCTCGATGGAATTAATCTCCAATTCTTTAAACACCTCGCGAATCAGCTCAGGCGAGGAGAATACGAATTCCGCCCAGGAAGGCGGGTATGGATCAACAAACCCGGCAAAATCATTAAACGCTCCTTAAGAATCAGCGTTCTAGGGCCGCCAAAGCGGCCCTAAGGCCGGAGGCCTTCGGGCTACCTTAGTAGCCCAAGGCCTTTAGGCCCTAAACAGACAAAATCGTACAAAAGGCATTGCAAATGGTACTAGAAAAAATCTACGAGGAAATTTTCCTAAATGGCTCCCACGGGTTTCGACCAGGTCGAGGGAATACTTGATGCCCCTCCAAGGGCATCAAGGCCCTGCTTGATGCGTCTTGAGCGCATCAAGGCCCTGCTTGATGCGTCTTGAGCGCATCAAGGCCCTGCTTGATGCGTCTTGAGCGCATCAAGGAACACACACAGCCCTCCAAATAGTCCACCAAAAATTTCAGGGAACAACATGGGTAATTGAAGGAGACATCAAAAAATGCTTCGATTCTATCAATCACAACCTTCTCTTAAAATTCCTGTCCGAAAGAATTGGGTGCCAAAAAACCCTAACACTGATCAAATCCGCCATTAAAGCTGGATATATTGACCTAGGAAAATGGGTAAGCTCCGGCGAAGAGGGGACACCTCAAGGAAGCATTCTGAGCCCTTTGCTATGTAACGTTTTCTTACATAAATTGGACGAGTTCATCATGAAATTAAAATTGGAAATCGACCAAGGAAAATACCGTAGAACAAACCCCACATACAACAAAATTCTATATCAACTTAAGAAATGGGGCCACAATATTAAACAAAGCCGTGTGCTACGTACGATGTTAAGACAGACACCAACTAAAGACTATATGGACCCCAAATATTTAAGACTCCACTACCTACGATACGCGGACGATTTCGTGATTGCTATTGGAGACCCCCGCCGATTAGCGGTAGAAATCCTAAACAAAGTTCAAGATTTCCTAGCTGATAAACTTAAACTGGACCTTAGCGAAGAAAAAACAAAACTAACGCACTTCATCAAAAAGCCAATTTTCTTAGGAGCCTTCATCTTAAATCGTATACTTAAAAAAAACAAACCAGTAAACACAGATGTACACGGACACAAAAAAAGAATTTCTATACACATTAGCCTCGGAGCTCCCACCATGAAATTAAAACGCCCACTAATGGAAAAAGGATTCATGAAATATGATAAAGACAGATTCAGCATCCGAGTAACCGCCCTTAACCGCGTCATCAACCTCGAACACGCTTCCATCCTACAATACTACCAATCCATAATCAGCGTGATCATCAACTATTACACTTTCGCTAACAATCGCTCTGATTTATGGAGCTGCATCTTAGGCCTAAAATACGGCTGCGCATTAACTCTAACAAAAAAATAGAAACTTAAACACATATCCATCACCCTCAGTAAATTCGGACCAAACTGAAGAGACCCCAAAACTGGGACCCAATTAAAGATCCCCCAAACCCTGAAACGTAACGTTGTATTTCGATTTAATCCTCCCAAACCACAAGAAATTATCGATCAAAACCGAACAAAAAAATTCACCAAATCCAATCTCTTCAAGGTCTGTACAATCTGTGTAACGACCCCCGTCGAAATACACCACGTCCGAAAACTGCGAGAACTTAAAAAGCGTACTCATCTGGATTGGTTCGCAACCCAAATGGCCGTTATCAACCGTAAACAGGTTCCTTTATGCAGAACCCATCACATGGCATTACATGATAACAAGCTCTCTAATGAAGAACGCATTGCCTTTTAAACCGGGCTAAAGAAGTTAGTCACCAACAAGCACAACAAGAAGAATGAAACAAAACCGAAACCCGATTGATTCATATGACCTGAACAAACATATGTCAACTTAAATTCTCACCACCATAATACTAATAACCGACCTTTAACATTCTGGCGAGCCGTATGAATTGAAAGATTCACGTACGGTTCTGAGGGCAGTTTGAAATCCTAAAGGGTAATAACCAAAGAAACCCTGCACCATCACCACCTCTGGAGGATGATGGCGCGGAGGGCGAGGGGCCGCCTAAGCGGCCGCGAGGGCCACTTTGGTGGCCCTAGAGGGCCTTTGGCCCTCGACCCCTTAGGAGTCTAGGGCCAAAGGCCCTCGACACTAAGGTGTCTCACGAGGGCCGGAGGCCCCCCGGGGCCCCTTAGGGGCCCTCGCCACCTAAGTGGCCCTCTAGGAAGCCGCCTTTGGCGGCCCTCGCCCTAAGGGCCACAACTAACATTCAACCCCAAGGAAATCCTTCTGACCCCTACCTCTTTGGGGTGCAACAGTCATCACAAGCCTGGCAAGCGCATTGCCAGTGGTAGGAACATCCATTGTGGGTTGGTTGTGGGGAAGCTTCTCTGTAGACAACCCTACTTTGAACCGTTTTTATAGCTTTCATTACCTGTTCCCGTTTATTCTGGCCGCTCTAAGCCTTGCCCATCTGGCCGCTTTGCATCAGTACGGTTCCACCAACCCATTGGGAATCACATCCCAAACCGATTTAGTGGATTTTTATCCTTATTACTATGTAAAAGACCTAGTGGCAACCTTGGTCTTGGCAGCCGTGGCTGCGTGGCTTGTAAGTTTTTATCCTGAAGCCCTTGGCCACCCGGACAACAACATTCCGGCCAACCCTTATTCTACCCCTGCACACATCGTGCCTGAATGGTACTTTTGCGTGCCAAAGCCCTCTTTGTTTCGTTGGCATGAATTGCTCAACATCACTGTGTTCACAATCGTATTAGGTGTGTATCTTCATGAACAAGTTCATAAGGTGTCTCCGATTGTGTGTTGTAAAACACTTCTCCCGAGAGGCATTGGAAACATTGCATTTCGAAGCGGAGAAGAAAGCGGCATAAGCCAGGAAGGTTCTGGCAAAAAGTGCACGCAAGTTACGTTCAGTATGGCTAAGATAATGAACCTGAATCACAGCCACACAATCATACCATGGATCCTTGCCCTACTTCTTGTGAGAGGCTTGGTAGGTGATGAGTCTCTTCCAGAAAGTGTAAAGACTCTAAATACAGTACACCTATGTGACATCTCTCAGATCTTGGCACAAAACTCTTGGAGCGAAGTTGTTTTTTGCTCCAAAAGCATAATCTTGCTACGAGGTCCGTCTTTAATGGCCCTTGCGCCATCTAAAATGGCCCAAAGGGCCGGGAGGGCCGCCGAAGCGGCCCTAAGGCCGGAGGCCTTCGGGCCACTTTTGGTGGCCCGGGGGTTTACCCGAGGGCCTTTGGCCCTAGACCCTCGCCAAATCCAGATGATTCGGTTGCAGGGGTCTAACCTGAACATTGGCGAAACCAAGGGAACTTTGGCATTGCCTAAAGAGCGAAAGCACTATGGCAAGCGAGCTTTTATATTAGAGAACAAAAAACTTCTCCAAGAAAAGCAGGAAACTCAAACCAAAAATACAATTGACATAATCCCCTCCGGGCGAAGCCAGAGTGGGATGGTTAGATTGTTAGAATTGCATCAATATGCGAGCGCCACCAATCTAGGGCCGGGGGGCCAAAAGCCCCCGGCCCTCGGTCCTCAATACAACCACAAATTAGAAAATTTGATTGATTACATTGCAGACCCGGACACACTGAAACTGGCCTATGAGCTTGTGAAACCTAAAACCGTATACAAAAAACCTTTGGTTTTTACAGTCGCTTTAGAGAAGAACAACCAAAACCAGATCAACATGTTACAAATGGGTAAAGAGTTGCTGGCGGGCCAATTTCAGTTTTCCGCGGTACGAGGTCCATCTTTGATGGACTTGCGCACAAGCCAAAAAAAGAAACGCGTTGCCAAAACAGAGACAAAAGACAAAGTTACCTTGGAAACAATCTCTCTACGTGACAAAGTTGTGCTCAAAGCAGTGGAGCTTGTTCTTTCCTCTGTCTATGAAAGTGAACCCTTCTTTTTCAAGTTCGTGAACCGTGGGCCATCTTTGAGGGGCAATCTTGGATTGCCTAAGACTTTTCAAAGTTTTGATTTGAATCAAACCCCAGATCAAGGTGTGCGCAATCTTCTCAAAAAAGTAAAGTACGGTTTTCAGGGCGCACAATGGTTCATCAAAGCAGACCTGTCCGAGTGCTGTGATTGCTTGGACGGTTTTACATGGCGTAGGGACTCTGAACTCTGGATTCACATTTTCTCCAAAAGAATCGCGTGTGAAAAAACACTGGCTTTGTTGAGGAGCGCCTTGAAAGCAAACTTTATGCCGGGTTGCTTGATCAAAGGGTCTTCTAGTTTTACGGAAACTTTGAAAGGAAAAAGAACAGGTCTTAGCCCTTTGATGTACAATATTTGTCTGCAACCACTAGACTTGTTCATGGAAGCTTTTTGTAACAGTCTAAACAATGGTTTTGACCCATCTCCACCAAAAGTGGCAATGGCCCAAAGACAATCTTTGATGGACCATCAAAGACGGCCTGCGGCCGACCACCCTAGGGCCAAAGGCCTTCATCAAAACCTACCAAAAACAACAAATCTGAGCCCAATTACTGAACATCAAACAAAAATCTATAAGAACAGACTTCCGCTTAAAGATTTACCAGAGAAAGCAGAAAGAGACAGTCTAGGTTTTCACAATGTTCGAGTTGGTTATGTGCGTTATTCCCATGAATGCCTAGTCTCTGTTCATGGATCTCGTAGTTTAGCTATGAAAGTAAAAGACAAGCTTCTTGAATTTATGGAAACTGAATTGCACTTGCCACTAGAAAAGTCTAAAACGTTTAACATTCAACCAAGTCACAAGGCAGTAATCTTCTTGGGTGCTGAGATTTGTTCTTCTGTTCAAAAACCAACAAATCTTTCTGATCACGACATAATGAACAGAATGGGTCTTTCTCAACATAAAATGAAAAACAAGACCTTGGGCCATCCGAGATGGCCCACGGGCAATGGAAGATTGCTCGCAAGCAATCAAAAATGGCCCAACAGAATGGACAAAAACAAACAGAAAGAGAGTTTCATTAGAACAGGACGAATTAAGCTGTTGGCACCCACAACCCAAATTTTGAACCATCTGGTGACGCTTGGTTTTTTAAAATGGAATTCTAATGGTACAGTTCTGATTCCTACAGCACTTACCCGTTTACAGAATCTAACACATTCTGACATTCTGGGCTATTATAATAGGATCATTGTGGATTTTTTAGAATACTATAGCTTTGCAGAGAATCGCCACAGTCTTGCTTCTACTGTTCGCCTTTTGCACAAGAGTTGTGCTCGCACATTAACACTCAAGCATAAACTGCGCTTTATGTCCAAAGCTTTTAAAAAGTTTGGACGTTTGATGGAATGCCCTACGTCTAAAGCTCAATTGGTGACAGTTCCATGGGCCAAAAAAGGCAGTGCGAAAACCAAGAGGCCCTCGAACTAGAAGGGCCTTAGAGCCCTTGGGACACTAAGGTGGTTCTTTAGGTCATTGGTTCGAGGGCTCTTAGGGCCCTAAAGGAAACAAAAGGGGCCTTAGGGCCTAAAGGCCCTCGGGCCCCCGGCCACTAAGTTGGTCCTAGAGCCACAAAGCCCTCTAGAGCCCCTAAGGGGTCCAGGGTCTTTAGGCCCTTGCTACCTTAGTAGCCCAAGAGCTCGAGGGGGAACCCGAAGGCCTTTGGCCTTAGGCCCCTAAGGAACCAAAAGCGCCGCTTAAGCGGCCCAATGGCCGCCAGAGCGGTGAGTCATCGAAGATATCTAGCTATCTTCGATAGCTAGCCATCGAAGATGGCTCGAACATCTTCCATGTTCCGCCCGTTAAGGACGGCCTAGAGAGCCTTCTTTGATGGCCCTCGAAGCATCAAAAATAACCGCACCATGGACAGATCATCAAAAAAGTTCAATCAGTATATAGGTATTAATATCAGAACACGTATTGGTGTTGAATTTTGTCTATGACTTGTGTGTGGGCCATCAAAGATGGCTAAGGCCACTAAAGTGGCCTTCGGGCAGAGGGTCGTTAGACCCTAAAGGCCCTAGCACCATAAACACATAAAAATCACAATCAATTCAGTAGAGAAACCAGCAATGAAGTGTTGTGGAGGGCCACCTAAAGTGGCTAGCCATCAAAGATGGCTCGGACATTCTCGATGTCGAGCTATCTTTGATAGCTCGTCATCTATGATAACCCTCGCATATTGATAGTGGCGTTTCAACTTCAATTGAAACGTTTTGAGACACTAGAAAGCCGTATGAGCTGAAAGGTTCACGTACGGTTTGGAGGGCAGTTTGGAAGTTCTAAAGACATTTCTGTCAATGAATCTAGTGATTCTACGAGCCTAAGGCCAGAGGCCTTCTAGGCAGCCGCCGAAGGCGGCCCTCGTCGAGGGCCTAAGGGCCCTCTAGCCACCTTAGTGGCCTAAGGTCAGAGGCCTTCGTGGGGGAACCCGAAGGCCTTTGGCCTTAGGGCCCCCTTAGGGGCCCTCGCCTCTTTTGGTTCCTTTAAAGCCTAAAAGCCTTAGGATCTATAGGGCCAAAGGACCTCGACCCTTGGACCGAGGGCCGGGGGGCCTTTGGCCCCCTCGAACCAACGGCCATCCGTAATGGCCTTTTAAGTCTATGAGTTCCATTTTGACCCTAGTATGGGTATATGCTATTCTTCGCAGCATTCCAAACAAGTTGGCGGGAGTCGCGGCCATTGGGCTTGTGTTTGTATCCCTGGCACTTTTGCCTTACCTACATAAACCAACCAGTCGTAGCCCTCTTTTCCGTCCAGTACACAAAGCATTGGCTTGGGCTCTGATTGGGGATTTCCTTCTTTTGACCTATTTGGGTCATCAGCCAGTGGAACCCCCTTTTGTGGCATTAGGTCAACTAGCCACGGCATTATTCTTTGGACTCCTTTTAGCTTTCTGTTTCGCCGCTTGGCTAGATCAGTGGTTAGCTGGAATCTTCGAGCCGTCCATCAAAGATGATCTTGGAGCTGAAGGTCCAAAAACTGTCGGGGCATAAGCTTGTCCTTTATGAACCTGTCATGCGCCGTTGGGCATGAAGCCATGGCTTCACGAACAAGTTCATGAGGCGGTGGTTTTGTGCCCTCGAGCGCATAAAGGATGTCCTTCGTGTACAGGGCCGCTTTGGCGGCCCTCGCCATCAAAGATGGCCCTCGAGTAACAAAGTGTGACTAAAGAACTAAAAAGCGAGCTCAGGTCTTTGCTGCACAGAGCAGCTCTCAATAAAGCAGAACTCGCCAGTTGTTCACAAATCACCTTTTCATTTAATTTGTCACGAGATTTTCTTTTCTTGAAAAAGGTTTTTTCTCAACATGAACCTGAATTCTAATATGTCAAGAAACTTTGTTGACGCTTTCACTATTATACGAAAAACCCAGAAAGACAATTAAAACAGACAACCAAAGCAGACAAGCTAAGCAAATTCTAAAGAACACTACAAAGTATGTCAAAGTGGTTAGAATTGGCATTAGGTTTTTTTCTTTTTTCATTAGAGACACTATTCGCTAAATAAGAATATGCTTTGAACCGTCGTAAACTTTTCGTTGCTTATGGTTCCCTAAATGTTAAGTCTATAATTGTTTGCACAGAATGGCGGAATAGTTTAAGAATAATTTAAGAATAATTCTATTGTGAATTTCTTTGTGGTTTCTACCAGAGTTTTTTCCGTGTTCAAAGGCCAAGCGTTCATAGAAAGTACACTAATCTAAATCGGGTTTGAAATCTGAGAGCGCTTAAAGCTCAACCAAAGGAACACTCTAGCAAAAATGTCAGATGAAATACTCTGGTCTTTAGACTAGAAGAAGCCTCCAATTTTGTTTTTTTTCTGATGAACCCTTTTTGATGACTCAACTGCTTTCTGATAAATGTCTGCGATGGAAACCACGAAATCGTCAGCGTTCGGAGTCTCTGAAATTAAGCAGTATGTGCCTTCGTAATCTTTCGCTGATGTTCTAAAGAACATCCGTTTTTGTGGATGCTCTGAAGAGCTTCAAGCAGAGCTTTCACGCGCTAAGGCGCATGAAGCAGGGCCTTAGGACCTAAAGGGCCGAAGGCCGAAGGTCGAGGGCCTTTGGCCCTCTTCGTGACCCTAAGTCCTCAGCCGAGGGTCTTGCGCCACTAAGGTGGCGCACTAGGGCCATCAAAGATGGCCCTTGCCTTTAAGGCCCTCGCGCCACTGTAGGGAGCCGCCTTTGGCGGACCTCGTGGCGCACTAGGGCCTAAAGGCCCTCGGGGGACCCCCGTGCCATCTTTGATGGCCCTAGCCTTTGGCCCTATACCCTAAGGGCCGAGGCCGAGGGTTTTTAGACCCTAAGGGCCTTCATGAACAAGTTCATGAAGCAGGACTTTGATTTAAACTTCATGGTCTCGAATGGCGTCAAAGCACGTCCAATGAACTTGTTCATGATGATGCACTTTTTCATGAACAAGTTTATGAAGTGCATTAAAAAAATGCGTGATTAGTATAGAATCAAAGACTCTGTTGGTAAGTTTTTTTCACAAGATAAAAATCACAGCGCAAGAACTTAGCTGTGTGTTACATTAACCCCCCGACTTTTAGCTGAGATAGCTCAGAGGTAGAGCAAAGGATTGAAAATCCTTGGGTCGTCCGTTCAATCCGGACTCTTGGCAGTTAGATAACTAAAAGTAAAAACAACCACACAAGTTTGGTTAAGACGCTTCTGAAATAAAAACAGCATTCCTCTGATTTGGGCTTAGAGTTATCAAGGTTAGCACTAAGGGTTAAGTCGTTAAGACCCATAGCCTAAAGGGTACGAAGCCTTCAGGGCGCAAAGATCCTTAGGGTCGAGGGTCGAGGGCCAAAGGCCCTCCGCGCCACTAAGGTGGCGCACTAGGGCCATCTTTGATGGCCCTCGCCTAAGAGCCCTACGCGCTACTGAGGTGGCGCACTAGGGCCTAAAGGCCCTCGGGGGACCCCCGGGCCATCTTTGATGGCCCTCGCCTTTAAGGTCCTCTAGCCATCAAAGGTGGCGATAGGCCGTCGAAGACGGGCTAGCTATCTTTGATAGCTAGGCATCGGAGATGCCTAGCCACCTTTGGTGGCTAGCCCGTCAAAGACGGCTGAGCCATCTTTAGATGGCTGAGTCACTTAAGTGACCCTAGACACTCGGGTGTCTTGCGCCACCTTAGTGGCGCACTAGGGCCCCTAAGGGGGCGAGAGCCGCTTTGTCGGCCCTCGGACCCTTTAGGGGTCTTGGGCTACTAGGGTGGCCCGAAGGCCTTTGGCCTTAGGGCAGAGGGCCTTTAGGCCCTAAAGGCCCTAAAGGCCCTAGAAGGCCACTAAAGTGGCCTTAGCCGCGACCGCGGCCCTCGGCCTCCTTAGGGGCCCTAGAGGGCCTTGGGGCCCCAGAGATCCTAACGACTCTCGGGCCCTAAAGATCTCTTCAGAAACTAATACAAAGAGCACTGACCAAAAGCCTATAAGGCGAGGGCCGAAGAAAGAGCGCTTTTAGGCCCTAAAGGCCTTTTTGGTGGCCCTCCAATCTCTATTGCAGAACATAGCGCAGCTTGGTAGCGCAGTGGTTTTGGGAACCACAGGTCGCAGGTTCAAATCCTGCTGTTCTGATTTTTCAGAGAGCAATCCCACTGGATAGCATGAATAATTAAGCGGGTTCGGTCAATGGCAGAATCAAGTTCGGGTATAGCTCAATAAATTGCGCAGATGGCGGAATTGGTAGACGCGTTAGGTTTAGGTTCTAGTGAATTTATTCGTGCAGGTTCAAGTCCTGTTCTGCGTATTGTCAGAAGATGCTTTGAGTTAAAGCCTTTATTCTCCCAGAATACATTTTTTGTCAGAGCATGTTTTTTGTTTGAGTTTGGTGAGCTTTGTCGCCTTTGCTTATGTTGTGAGTTAAAAATAACATTGATGCGCGAGGGCCTTAAGGCCCTAAAGACGCATCAAGTCGTAGTTTTATGTGCTTAAGCACATAAAGGCTCTTTAGGGCCCCTTAGGGGCCCTCGCCTTCACAAACAAGTTTATAAAGCATTTCCTGCATGCCACAAGGGCATCGAGCAAGGCTTTTATGCGCTAAGACACATCAAGCATTTCCTTTTGCCACAAAGGCATCTAGCAGGGTTTTGATGCGCGAGGGCCTTAAGGCCCTAAAGACGCATCAAGTTGCACCGGATGCTCTCTAGAGTCACGTTGGTTCGGGGGGTACCCCCCGAGCCACTAAGGTGGCCCTCTAGGGGCCGCCAAAGCGGCCTCTAAGCCCACTAAGGTGGCCTTCTAGGGCCTTTAGGGCCTAAAGGCCCTCTGCCCTAAGGCCAAAGGCCTTCGGGCCACCCTAGTGGCCCGGGGGGGACCCCTGAAGGCTATTTTTAATGACTTTAGTTATCCAAGATGACCTAGAGAGCATCAACCAGGGCCTTCACGAACAAGTTCATGAAGCATGTCTTTCATGCGCTAAAGCGTATCAAGCAGTGGTTTTATGCGCTTTAATAAAAGATATCCTTAATGGGTTTAAGAGCATCAATCATGTCCTATGAGGGCTTTTTTTTGGCCTCTGCTTTCGAGCTAGAGCCTGTTTTTTTCAGAGTGTTCCTTGTTCTTCCTTTTTCTCTTTTGAGTTACAAAAAGAAAACATGACCCATTCTAACCTTCGTAAAAAGAAAGCTGTTCCCTATCCTATTGTACAGAAACAATCTGTTCAGCAATGGAGTTATTTAAAACAGCTCTCTTCTGAACAAAAAAGGGTTTTTAGAAATAAGTCCCGATTTTTTTCTCTTGAGTACAAGCGTCCTTTTTCTAAGCGAATTGTTTGGCAAATGGCAACCCACAAGCCTTTAGTGCCAAAGCAAATGCAAACAAACCTGTCTTTTAATCAGCGCCTTCCGCAGAGAGCTCTACGACAAGAGCCATTCTCTTTCTTGGGAAAAACTCAACTTTGGAAAGTGTCTTACTTTTGGGGAGCCTCTCAATTTAGAGGAATCTCTCAATTGAAAAAAGTGTCTGCGTCTTTGGAGATGTCTCAAGGTCCATCTTTGATAGACGAGGGTCGCAACCGCGGCCCTAAAGGTTTGAGTTCTTTGAAAGGTAAGAAACTATCTTTAGGTTTGAAGCAGTTTGACTATAAAAAGAGATCTCAACTGAACAAACATTTGAAACGTTGGAGACTGTCTCTAGATTTGAAACCGTTTGAGTCTCTAGGGCCTTTGGCCCTAGGATTATTAAAAAGAACCCAAGAGACGTCTCAACTGACTAAGCATTCTGTGAAGTCTCGAAGAACCTTCTCTTTAACTCCTAAACTTTATCCCTTTACACAAAGCTGGACAGTGTTTCGGTCTCTTCTCTTTGGTAATTTGCGCACACTGAACAACCCTTCTATTGTTCCCGGAAGTGTTTGGTTAGTCAAACGCAAAAGACTGCTAGTGGCCCGAATGCGAGCCTTTCGAGCCATGCGTCATTTGCTCGGAAACTCTGGTTTGAAGTTTGTGAACCAAACCTTTCAAAAGCTTTGGAAATTGTCTGCTCAAACCACGCCTTCTTTGTGGTCTCTGGCTAGAGGTATGGATTCTCTTCAAACAAGTGTGTTTTTGAAAAGCAATTTTGTTTGTACTTTGACTGCAGCGTCTAATTTGATTTCTCAAGGGAATTGTTCTTTAAACGGTCGCACGATTCAAAAGAGCCGGAGCTTCATTTATCCAGGAGATTGTTTGAGAGTTACATTAAAAGAGCCCTTTTATGAAAAAGAACAACAGATAGGTCCATTAAAGATGGATCTATACCAACAACCACTCTGGTTTGACCCTCAAAGACTTGGCTCTGGATTCTCTCGACCTCCACTTCAACATCAAAACTTGATCGAAAAAGACCGAACCTTTGCATTGGGCACTCTGTTGACCTATGGTCCAAGCACTGAAAGATCTACACCCATTAATGCAGTCAACCCGTTTGTGTGGTTAAATTCTTTTTATAGCTCTGGAAAAGTTTTCAATATTTTTGGCCAGCGCAAAAGAATCGCGCGTCAACGCCGCTTTTTCAAAGGATTTAGGACGCGTGGTCGAGGGCTTAAGGCCTAAAAGGCCAAAGGCCGAGGGCCACTCGCTATCTCTGGTGGGGTGGCCCTCGATCAAAGAGTAGGATCAATAATTAGAGCTGCTAAGGCCGTTGATTCTCGTTGGTTCTAAGGCCATTAAGGTGGCCAGGACATCTTAAATGTCCTGGCCACCTTAATGGCCCGCAGGGTTGCTTTGGCGGCCTCGTCTATCTTGAATTGTAAAGGGCATCAAGCGAACAGCCTTAAGATTCGCCTGACAGTTAGCAAAGCCTGGTTTGGTTCCAACAGAATCAAATCATGCATCAAAGCAATATATGAATCATTAATCAAACCTAATCATTAACTAAATCAAATTATTCACTAAATCACGAACCAAATTAACTACTCTTTATATTTAGTCTTGGTGAATACTACTACTAGATATAACTTTTAACAAAGATGCCAGAGTTTATTCTCTGATCTGTAAACAAGAGTTGAACTTTGGTTTTTGGTTTTGGAATTAAATCATAGAACCACTTTTCTTTTGAAAAAAGAGTTCGCTTGGTTTTTCTTTAAAAAACTAAGTACTTCCTTCAGGATTGATTAGCACAATAGTGAAAACTAACTATGCAAAAAACAATCTCCAAGTAAAGTAGGTTGTTAATCTTAAGGATATCCTTTATGCGCTTAAGCCCATAAAATCATGGCTTCATGCGCGAGCCATCTTTGATAGCCGAGTCACCTAAGGTGACTAGGCCGTCCTAGACGGCTCTTTGCGCATCAAGGGTATGCTTGATGCGCTAAAGCGCATTCAGGATATGCTTGATGCTCTCTAGGGTCACTAAGGTGGCTTAGGGCTGGGAGGCCCTCGACATTTAAGATGTCGAGCCACCTTAGGTGGCTAGGCCGTCTTTAATGGCCGAGGGCCTTAGGGCCTTCCGGGCTACTTAGGTAGCCCACTGGTCTTAGGACCTTCATCGTTGAAGATGACCTAGTCAGCATCAAGCATATTTTAAAGATACTTTGTTCCCATAAAAATTCGGTCTCGAGGGTGACTTCGTCTCTACCGATTTTTTCTGACCTCTGCCTATAATTTGATTCTATGACCAACTATTTTTTGAAAATTCTAAAAATTGGGGCATCGCCAAGTGGCAAGGCACCAGACTTTGATTCTGGCATTCGGAGGTTCGAGTCCTTCTGTCCCAGAACATGCTTGTTCTTTTTGCGAACCACTAATCAAGAATGAGCAACCAGTTAGCCAATAATCTAACAGTTTGTTTTTTTATTCATGCTCGTGCGCCGTTGGACTGCTGTTCGTGTAATGTAGTAAACGAAAATTGACCTCCATGCCCTTAAAGGCGTGATGTACATCCCTGATAAGCTAAGAACGCATGAAGCAGTAGTTTTGTGCGCATAAGCGCATTATAAATATCTTTGATGTGCTAAAGAGCCGCTTTAGACGGCGCTTGGGAAATCGAAGATTGCCCACGGGCCATATTTGATGGCCCTCCGGGACACTAAGGTGGCTCGACATCAGAGATTTCGAGCTATCTTTGATTGCTAGCCATCAAAGATAGCAAGACATCAAAAATGTCTTGTCCGTCGAAGACGGCCTAGGCCTTCGAAGACGGGCTAGCCACCTTTGGTGGCTAAGCATGGTCGATGGCAAGGCCGTCTTCCACGGGCGAGGGCCTTTGGTTCCTTGGGGAACCAACGAGGCCCTCGATATCTTAGATGTTCTAGCTAGCGACCATAGCTAGCCATCAAAGATGGCGGAACATCAAAGATGTTCCGGCCGTCGAAGACGGCCTGAGCCATCGACTATGAGAGGGCCTTGGGGCCCTTGGGCCATCAAGGATGGCCCAAGTTCATTAAAGATGGCCGAGGGATGACCCGAAGGCCTTTGGCCTTAGGCCACTAAAGTAACCCAGAACTCTCAATCAGATGGTTCTTCAAAAGTGTGGTTGTTGTTCTTTTAATCTCTCGTCTAATCTCAAATCAATGGCACAAAAAAGTTTTCCCAGATCTTTAAGATCTCCTCAACAAGTTTCCCAAGATTTTTCCTTGTATGCTGAAAAAGCTTATGCTAATGTTTGGTCTAAGGGATATGAGCTTGGAAAGCTCATGTTAGCTTTTAGTCAAGGTCAACTTCTAGCTAAAATCAAACCTAAAGCGCATTTGCGTAAACGTCGCAGCCAAAAAAAGAAAGTTGCCAGTTTTTTCAATGCGCGTTTGAGCGCCTCTTATTGGATGGGCACGATTTCTTGTTCCCCTATCATGGTCAAGTTTGCGAGTCTAAGTGCCTCCAAAAAGTATAATCCAATCAAAGCTATTCGCAGAGTACGGTCTTTGAGAGACTCTAGAAAGCGGTTTATGCAAAGAAAGGGTAAACATAAATTTTGATTGGTTCCAAAACTTCTTCCATCAAATAATAACTGGAAGTTTTCCTCTTGGGCATGTTTTATAAACTCGTTTTTGAACGCAAACCTCAGGAACATTCATGCATTCATTCATGTATTAAAAAAAACTTTTTAAATTTTATAAATTCTATTGACACTTGACACTTGACACTTGACACTTGACACTTGACACTTGACACTTGACACTTGACATTCTACAGTGATTTAAAAATCTCAGGCATAATTTGTTTCTTTTAGAAACAAAGCCATACTTTGTTTCTAAAAGAAACAAAGGAATACTTTATTCTAAAAGAATAAAGCCATAGTTTGTTTCTAAAAGAAACAAAGACAAAAAAAGCCACGGTTTTGGCCGAAAGTCAAGTGACTTGGTCAATCTGCTTTCAAACTAAAACACTTATAAAGTCTCTTTGACTTATAAAAGCCTAAGAAAGTTTTTCTAGTTTATAAAAAGCTACAAAAACGTACTAAATCTATAAAAACTGCTTAATATAAAAGGCCTTTATTGCCTAAGGAACTGCTTCATACGCCTTAGTGCATGAAAAAAACACTTTATGAACATGAAAAAGAAATCTTCATGCGCTAAGCGCTGTCTTGGACGGCTGGGGGCCAACGACCGTGGTCGAGGGCCGCTTTGGCGGCCCTCGCCGTCTTCGACGGGCTAACTACCTTAGGTGGCTCGGACATCTTAGATGTTCTAGCTAGCGACCATAGCTAGGCATGGTCGATCATTAGAGCCGTTGGTTTCTTAGGGGCCCTAAAGGCCCCGAGGGCCACCCAAGTGACCCTAGAACCAAACGCCCTTGCGCATAAAGAATTGCTGGATGCCGCCAAGGGCGTCAAGCCGTTGTTTTATGCATTTTAGCGCATCAAGCTTAAACATAATGAGAGTTCATGAAGTCCACGGTCGGCTTATGGAAAGATGGCTGAGCGGTTCAAAGCGCCAACTTGGAAGGTTGGTTTCCTTTTTAGGATCGTGGGTTCAAATCCCGCTCTTTCCGAGTTGTTGCTTCATGAAGCTTTTCTTTCATGAAAAGGTTAATGAGGTTTTTTGTTTAATAAATTCTATCTAAGATCAAGATTATGAGCCATCTTAGATGGCGAGCTCTTTTCAATGGCAAGACATCATAGATGGCGGAACATCTCTGATGTTCCGGCCGTCAAAGACGGCCTTGAACATCTAAGATGGCGGAACATCTCTGATGTTCCGACCGTCAAAGACGGCCTTGAACATCTAAGATGTCGAGCCATTGAAGATGGCTCAACATGGTCGATGTTCGAGCCATCTTAGATGGCTAGCTATGGTCGCTAGCTCGACAGGGACCATGGCTAGGCCGTCGACCACGGCTTAGCCATAAACTCAAAATCTTCAAAAAAGCCCAGAAATTAGATTAAGATAACTATGTTCCCTTTGTTATTGCCTTGTTGTGGAATGGGATGTGCTATCTTGATAAACCTGAACCAGACAGGTTGGTTAATGGCGGTGATTCTTCTGCCTTTGTGTGGCGCGCTTCTGCTTTGTTTGTTACCAGGAAAAAGCGTGTCTGCTCATCGATTGGCAGCTTTAACAGTTACCTTAATCACACTGCTCTTGAGTTTGCTCTTATGGGCGCAATTTTTGCCTAACAGTCCTGAACCTTTTCAGCAAGTGGTAGGCTTGGCTGGAAGTTGGAATGGGACTCTCTGGGTTCGTCTAGAGTTTGGTCTCGATGGACTAAGTCTTTGGATGGTCTTGTTGACGGCTTTCTTAATGCCTTTGGCGGTTCTGTGCAGCTGGCGAACTCAGAAAGACCATAGCCAAGCCTTTTTCGCACTGATGCTAGTCCTAGAGACTTGTCTCTTGGCCAGCTTTACTTGTTTAGATTTGCTTGGTTTTTATGTGTTTTATGAATGTTCTTTGTTGCCCATGTTTTTGCTGATTGGGTTAGGTGGTTCTCGACCTCGCAAAGTGCGTGCTGCCTACTTGTTGGTAATTTATACTTTGGTGGGAAGCCTTGCCATGTTGCCGTGTCTTCTGTTAATGTATAGTCAAGCAGGATCTACCAGTTTCTTGCTGTTGGCAGCGGAAAGCTGGGCACCCGCACGACAATATGTGCTTTGGTGGGGTCTGTTCTTAGCCTTCGCTGTGAAAGTTCCTATGGTTCCCCTGCATCTTTGGCTACCAGAAGCTCACGTAGAAGCCAGCACTGCAGGTTCTGTATTGCTAGCAGGAGTTCTTCTTAAACTAGGTAGCTATGGGTTGTTAAGATTCAGTCTGCCGCTTTTCCCAGAAGCCAGCGCTTATTACGGACCTCTAGTTCTTTGTTTATGCATGATTGGATTGACTTATGCAAGCTTAACCACTTTACGTCAAGTAGACTTAAAAAAAGTAATTGCTTATAGCAGTATTGCTCACATGAGTATGGTCATTATTGCTCTGTTCACTTTGAATGAGATTGGAGCAATCGGAGCCACTTTTATGATGTTGGCTCACGGGGTAGCCAGCCCAGCGCTCTTCTTGCTAGTGGGAGCCATCTATGACCGTGCGCATACCAAAGCCTTGAAATACCTGGGAGGTGCTGCGACCGCCATGCCTGTGTTTAGTTTGATGTTCTTTGTGTTCAGTTTGTGCAACATGGCATTACCATTGAGCCCGAACTTTGTTGGAGAGTTTTTGTGCTTATGTAGCGTTTTTGCTCATCATTTAGGTGCGTTAGCTGCTGCTCTGTTTGCGGTTATTTTAAGTGCCGCTTACACTATGTGGGCCTACGCACGAGTGGTTCACGGAATGCCCAAACCTCAGTATTTTCAAGCCCTGGCGGATTTGAATCGACGCGAGGTCTGGACTTTGCTGCCTTTGCTGGGTCTAGCTTTATGGTGGGGGTTGAAACCTAACCTAGTTCTTGACCAAATCTCTTCCAGTTTATGGTTTTGGCATCAAGCTGCTTATGCGCCAAAAGTAGCGGAGAGTTGGGTATTGACTGTTCTGTCATCCACCCGATTTCACCTGATGTGGCCCTCGACATCTCTCATGTCGAGCTATCGACCATAGTTAGGCCGTCGACCACGGCCTAGGGCCTAAAGGCCCTTGGGGTTACGAGGGGCCGCCGAACCGGCCTCTAGGGCCTTTAGGCCCTAGGGTCACTTAGGTGACTAGCCATGGTCGCTGGCTCATCATCTTCGATGATTATCGCCACCTCAAGTGGCTGGGCCGTATTCGATGTCCCACCGGGCTACCTAAGTGGCCCTCGTCAGGCGCTTCTGTGGTTTCATTTGTGCACTATGTTGTCAATTTAAGATTCTCTTTCTGTTTTATTACATTGTGATCAGAGAGTTTTTTCACTTAGTGAAAAGACACACTTTGAGCTTGAGCTGAAAACCTTCAAAGGTTGAATTTATTAGTGGTGCAGCGGGGTCTCTGTTGACCAGAATTTTTTAGAAAGAATTCCATGGACCCAAAATGAGCAGAGAGGTTTCAAGTGATTCTATAGATGCAGATTGATGAAGTGATCAACTGGCACGCTTTTACGGTTTATATCGATTTCATTGATTTAGGGCTAACGAATTTCTTTAGAAATCAAGTGGACTAATGGCTGAATCATCACAAAGTCATGTGAGAAATAAACTAATATAAGGCTCTGGCTGGCTTAAGCTCTATTAAGTGAATATTTATTTTTTGAAAAGTTTACAACTTTTCAAAAATAGAATCCTATCACAGCTATGTTCTATATTTTTTGAAACTTTTCTAGACTTTTCTCCTCTGAATAGTTCAAAAGGATTGTTCGTACTAAGATATTGATATTATTGACTTTGAGTTTCATTGGTATTCAGTAATCAGTTTCATCGCTGAATACTTGATCACGTTCTAGTGTGCCGTTGAATGTAATAAAAAGGCTCGCAATCATATGGATAAACTTCAAAAAAAGATACTTCATGGACAAGTTCATAAAGCATATGCTTTATGCCCTACAGATAAAGCATGAAAGTGAACAGTTAAAGTTAAGAAAGTTCGTTCAAAGATCTGTTGAGAAAAAACGAGTTCTGTAGAAGTTATAAAGAAGCTGTCGGGGTTAGATTTGGTTGGCTTTGCAAAAAAAATGGTCGGAATGAGCGACCTTAGGGTAAGAAGGGTTTGAGTTGAAAAAGAAGATGTTGAATCTGTTAGGCAAGTTTAACTAAACCTGAAATCAAAAATGAAACATGCGGTGACAAGTTCAAGTTCAAAGACACGTACAAAGAAAAAAAATAAATAAAGAGGTATGAAACCACGTAGATTAGCGCGCAGGATAACACACTACGCTAAACAAAGAGAACAAGTAATAGTTGTGGTAACTGCGGTGCGTAAGAAGATCCGTAGAGATTTAGTTTTTTTAAAGACTAAATCTTTCCTCAGGGCTAGGGCCGGGGGTCGAGGGCCACCAAAGTGGCCCTAGAGGGCCGCCGAAGGCGGCTGCCTAGAGGGCCAAAGGCCCTAAACCCTCGAATTTCAAATTAATTAAAGAAAGCAAACAATAGAGGAACTTTTTAAGGAACCAAAGAATCAAGCAAAGAATCAAGCAAAGAATCAAGCAAAGAAGCAAGTCACTAAGCGCTTAATGAACTCTTTCATGAAGAACATGCTTGGTGCGCTTGAGTGCATAAAACCAGAATTTCATGAACGTGTTCACTGAAGAAAGTAAACCTACAACTTCATGAACTTGTTCATGAAGAAAGAAAAAAAGCAAAGACATGGTTGATGTTCTAAAGAACATCTGAGAAGCTAGAAAAGAAGAAGATCAAATCTTTTACGAGTGCATTCGGGTTAGGGCCCGAGGGCCGTTGGTTCTAAAGGGAACCAAAGGGCCTAAGAACCCACTAGGAACCAAAGGCCCTCGACCCGAGAGCCCCCCTTAGGGGCTCTCGAGGGCCTAAAGGCCCTAGCCTTCGATCACTGTAAGGCTGAAAAGAATCAAAAATACAAGAATATGCTTTATATTTTTAAAGGTATCAAGGTGAACATTAAGGATTCAAACCAGTGATTATTCAAGAAAGAGCGCATAGCTCAATTGGTAGAGCTGCGCCCTTACAAGGCGAAGGTTGCGGGTTCAAGTCCTGCTGTGCTCAAGACCTCTGCTTATAAAAACCTATTTTGGTTAAGAACCCATTGGTTAAGAACCTAAAGAGTCTCTAGGGCCCCTAGGGGGGCCCTCGACACTAAGGTGGCTCAGACATCTTTGATGTCTCGGCCGTCTTTGACGGGCTAGCCACCTTTGATGGCTAGCCCGTCAAAGACGGCTGAGCCATCTTTAGATGGCTGAGTCACCTAAGTGACCCTAGACACCTGAATGTCTTGGGCCACTAAGGTGGCGAGGGCCCCTTAGGGGCCCTAGTGTGACACCTTAGTGTCACAAGGGCCTCGTTGGTTCCTTAAGAATCAAAGGGGCCTAGAGGGCCTAAAGGCCCTCTAGGCAGCCGCCGAAGGCGGCCCTCGCGAGGGCCCCTAGAAGGCCTCTGGCCTTAGCCCTAGCCAGCGACCATGGCTAGATAGTGGAAGACGGCCTAGGGGCACTAAGGTGGCCCTCAACATGGTCGATGTTCGAGTCAGCGACCATGGCTAGCTATGGAAGATAGCTCCACATCAAAAATGTCCAACCAAAGCGGCTTTAGAGCGTATTAAACTTGCTTTACAACGTCTTCACGTTTTCTAAAAGAAGGATCTTATTTTATAAACGAATTCATGAAATTGTGGCTTTATGCGCTTTAGCGCATGAAGTACGTTCTTTAGACACTTTTTCTGACTTTGACTCATCTTTGTTTGTGTTTCGACGCACTCAAAAACTAACAAACTTTTGATCAGAGAAAACGTTTATTTGAATGGTTAAGTCGTCTAAAGGTAAGGCATTGGTTTGCAAAACCAAGAATAGCAGTTCAAGTCTGCTCTTAACCTGTGCGCGCTTGTAGCTTAATGGATAAAGCGCCGAGCTACGGACTCGGAAAGTGTGGGTTCAAGTCCTGCCAAGCGTGTGTTCACACAAATCACAATTCATAAAAAACTCAGGCTTTAATGTACACGTATAGACTGATAGAGCTTAACAGGCCGGCCCATAATTCGCTTTTGTCTATGTGAAAAAGAGCGGTTGATGCTCTAAAGACAATAAACAATATGCTTGATGCCTTTAAAAGAAACAAATAAAACCTGTCCTTTAAAAATACATGCTTTCTGAAATTCAGTCAAGGTTTTTCAAAAAAGTCTTTCTGAAGGGTGTTTTTAAAAGCGCGCATTCTCCAAAAAAGGAGATTTCAAAAAGGCTAGGGCTAGGGCCACTTAGGTAGCCCTCTAAGGCCAGAGGCCTTCGCCTTCGGCCCCTTAGGCCCTAGGCCCCATTAAAGATGGCTCTCGATCAATAGTTTGAAAAACTCAGCGAACGTGGCGAAATGGTAGACGCAAAGCCTTCAAAAGGCTTGGGTCACGTGACTGTGCGGGTTCAAGTCCCGCCGTTCGCATGTGTTCCAGCAAATTTCTCTATACATGTTTGAACTTTGCATAGCACATTTGTTAGACAGAATTTAGATTTTCAGAGTCAACGCCTACATTCTATAACAAAAGATTTAATCATATACTAAGATATCTTATAAAATCCTATGAAATTCTATGAAATCCTATGATCGCGTCCTTGATTATTATTGGCATTGTGTCTTTATGGACAGCTGGACTGTCTGATTGGATGATCGCGTATGCTTCCGGTCTGGCGCAGTTAGGTATCTGGCAAACTCTGTTTAGCTTGATCCCTTTTGCAGTGCTATGGGTCTCTTTAAAACGACTGTCCTTCAGTGAAATGCCTAGCAGAAAAGCAAGCACTCACTGGAGCGTGCAATTAAAGGTTTCAAACCGTTGATGCGCAATCTGGCTCAATACCAGATTGTGTGCTTAAAAATTGACCCTAGGGAGCCGCCTTTGGCGGCCCTCGGGGACCTTTAGGTCCCTTTGGTTCGGGGGGGCCCCTAAGGGCCCCTTAGGAACCAACGGCCACTTTGGTGGCGAGGGGCCGCGAGGGCCGCCAAAGGCGGCTCCCTAAGGCGGCCTCCGAGGGCCTTTGGCCCTAGACCCTTTAGGGGTCTCGCGAGGGCCTTTGGCGAGGGCCCTTAGGCGCCTAAAGAACCAAAGAGGCCCTCAGAACCTTAGCTCTATACAAAAGTGCTTCAAACCTTTCTTTGATCAAACATGCCCAACACAACTAAATATCAAAAGAACAGATGACTGTTCTAACTAAAAATGCAAAAAACAAAATGCTTTAGAAAAATTCTTGACCTCAAGTTGGAATCCTTCAGAAACTCTGGTCTAAAAATTATAGTATGTGCTTAGTGTGATGAGATCTTGTGCTATTGTTTATGTGGCGAGTGAAAGTTTATTTAGATACTCTCAGCCATCTAAAGATGTCTTAGCCATGGTCGCTGTCTTGCTAGCGACCATAGCTCGTCATCTATGATGACCTTCTGGATCCTTTTTTGACCTCTACTTATTGAATGAAGTCATAAGCTCATTTCGAACAGCTCATACAAATCGACGGATCGTGATCATTGCCATGTCTTCTTTTGTAAAGGGGTTTCCACGATGGGCTTGTTCTAGTGCGCCACTGTGTTGATATTCATGCCGTGTGAATCAAATTCCACCTGCAAAGTCTTCACATAAAGGAATATTAATATATTCTCTTTTTGCAGTAAAGCACTTCCCGGGATGCTGCTAAAACAGAGTCCTAAGCGGGTATGAAAGCCGAAATGAGAGCGAGCGAGCAAATCTCATACTCCCAATTAATGGAGGCTCTCGGCCAGCTAATGTTGACATGGCTAAAAAAATGAAAAAAATGAACCTGTAAATACGTCGTCCGTGATAAAGCCCCGCAGTAATCCATAACTCGCCCTTGGGATTATTGGACACTAAGATTGATCCTTTGTAAAACGGGAAAATCTGGTGAAGACTAGTGAATCCGGAGCCACCTAGCAGGATGGTAAAGACCTTCAGGGGCCTAAATCAACAATTTGCATGTTTATCGGAACTGTGTTAGGATTGCCTGAGAGTTTGCCTGATACTAGATATTTAACTAATAAATCTCCAAGAATGCGTTCTTGAAAACACAATGATACGATACTATTCAACAAGCAAACACAATTCCATGAACACGTTCATGGGAACAAACGAAAATTTCTCAGGGAACGGAGCTCTTGTAATAGGGATAACGTTAGGTAACACTAACCGCGTAAAAAATGTTGCGCTCCCTAAGGAGAGCAGGAATGTTAATTACGAAAGACAAGCGACTTTGAAGCCCCGGTGGTTCTAAGGCCGCTTGGGCGGCCTTCTAGAGCCCTTAAGAGGGCTCTCGCCTCTGGCCCCATTCGCCAGTAGATACGGGGGTGGCGGTACGTTCTGTCCAAGTTGAGGAAATTCACATAATAACAATACCACTCACAAACCTCCGCTTAACATTCGGGCAAGCCGTATGAATTGAAAAGTTCACGTACGGTTTAGAGGGCAGTATGATAAACCCTAAAGGGCGGATACCCTAAGCAGCCAAGGGTCGAGGGCCCTTGGCCCTATTGACCCTAAGGGCTGACTAAGCCCCAATGAGTTCGAACATGCATAGCATGGATACGACACCCCCAAGGACATCCTTCTGACCCCTACCAAACGCCAAAGATATTGGCTTACTGTATTTGATTTTTGCAAGCTGGGCGGGTATTATTGCAACCGCAATGAGCATGTTAATCCGTATGGAACTGAGCAATCCAGGTCCAGGCGTGTTAGCATCCGCCGGGCAAGTGTACAACGTGTTGATTACTGCTCACGGACTTCTAATGCTGTTCTTCGTCGTGATGCCTGCTTTAATGGGTGGGTTTGGTAATGTGCGACAAGAAGTCGTATATGGCCTTTCAGTAAAACTGAGAGGTATGGTCTATCTAGGAAATCCTAGTACCTCTGCCTAGTCTGGCATGCGTCTCTAGTAATGGAGGGGTATGAAGCCCAGATGACAAAGCCCTTAGCGTGAAATGGAGATAGCTCTAGGGGCTGGCAAACTTCTATGGCTAATGAAAGTGAACCTATGGATAAAGCACCGACAATCCTCTCCTCTCTGTAAAAAGAGTAGTGTGGGTGTATCTGGTAGTGTTTCCGTACCAGATACTGTAGACCAAAGATATCCACCGGTGTAAAGTAGGAGCCTAAGGAAGTAGTATGGTCATATATGGAACTTGGTAAGCCCAATGTGATCCTAACTGAACTAAGTTTGGAAGGAGGAAAAGCAGCAATGCTTTTTATCTCACAGTGGGTAAAAGACTGGATAAAAAGCAAATGCTCCATTGTAATGATTGAGATAGGATCCAATGATCTACACTGAAAAGTGGCTGACTTATTCACATGGGCGCTTCAACTCAATTCACTCAGACATAAGAAGTGTCAGAGTCACCTTCACACGCACGAAAATGAAACCGGAGTGGAAGCAATGAAAGGAGTCATTGAAAATGCAAAACGTGTGGCAGTTGGAGGGCACTTCTGGTTTGACATCAACTGGCAAAAATGCTATGATGATCTCAAACACATGCAAAGTGATATTGCAGTGGCGTGGAAACAAAGAGACTTGGAGAAAATGAAGGCAGTACAGATGAAATTGGTCAATAGCTTCGCTGCTAAGGAATACTTTGTTCTTTGAACAAATCCAATGGTTGTTAAAATTGTAACCAGCAACAAAGGCCTACTTGGTTTTTCTTTAAAAAACCAAGCAATACTTTATTCTAAAAGAATAAAGCCATACTTGGTTTTTTAAAGAAAAACCAAGCGAAGAATACTCCTAGCATTGACAATGTCGAGGGCCATCTTAATAACCTTTGTGGAATTCTGCTGAGCTTCTGCATAAAGAGGGCCATCAAAGCGGGTCGAAGGCCTTTGGCCCTAAAGACGAGGGCCCCCTTAAAAGGCCCTAGAGGGCTTTTAGGCCCTAGCCCTCGTGTCACAAACAAGTAACCTTCTCCAAGAATCAGAAAACCATTGCGCGACTCAAAGAACAAGACATCTTGAATAATTCATTGAATGTTATTGAACTTTGAGGAGAGAAGTGTTGGAGCTGTGTGCGCTGAAAGGTGCATGCACAGTTCTTAAGGGGGGAAAGGCCGAAAGGCCCTACCTATCCAACTTGGTTGGTGCCTGTAATGATCGGAGCACCAGACATGGCATTTGTGCGCTGCGTCATGACAGCTTGGCTTATCTGGATGGTAACAGAGACAACTTACTGGAACAGTTGCAGCATACTACACTTAGGTGAGGGGGAAAGCCCTGAGCCGAACATAGCATGTGTAGAAAAAGCGGGACGATTCCGAACCCACGTGAATCGATCCTTGCTATTGCTAGTACTCATGGTAAAAGCTACACTGCTTGAACTTCAATTCTTTGATCCCTCTCATGTCGGGGTTAGCCTTGCGGGTTATCGGGCTTATCTTCACGATGTACCATACGGGAAAGCTATGGTACATTCCAGTCAGAAGAATCGAGTGGCAATCAGCCATGTTAAGAGAATGAGTGAAGTACCTAAAAGTACAGCCGACCAAGCTAGCCGGAACGTAGGATGGCCTAAGGGTTTAGGGCCGCTTAGCGGCCCTCGTCCACTTAAGGTGGCCCACAGTCCATCTTTAATGGACCTCGAAGAGACGACCTATGGTCACAGAGCCATCATAGTAGCAAATGCTCCGCTTAACAGCGAAAACAACGTGAAGGATGGCAGCCAACTTGGCTATATGGTCGGAAAGGATGTGACTCGCCGCTGGGCGGGCATTCACGCTTCTGTTCAGGTTCGAACCTTTAGTTCTAAAGCGAAAGCTTTAGGGACAGGGCCTAGGGCCAAAGGCCCGAAGGCCTATGGCCTTAGGGCCCCCTTTCTAGAAGGGAACTGGAAAGAACGTGCGACAATCCCAACTGAATTTATAGCATTTCAGTCTAAATGTGTTAAATGGAAAGGACCTATCAAAGAAAATGTATACAAATTCCTACTTGATCCTCGTATGTTTGAGATCGCCTATGCGAAACTGCGCAACAACCCGGGAAATCTGACACCAGGAATTAACCCGACTCCATTGGATGGAATCAATGCCGAATGGATTCAGGAAACCATCGCATCTTTGAAAGACGAATCCTTTCAATTCACCCCGAGTCGTCGCATTAACACTGCGAAGCCCCAGGGTGGGACTAAGGCCGCTTTAGGCGGCCCTCGACCTTTTACGATTGCACCGCCTCGCGATAAGATAGTCATGGAAGTGATGCGCATGATCTTAGAAGCCATCTACGAGCCTACCTTCAGCCCACACAGCCACGGATTCCGTGCTGCTCACAGCTGTCATACGGCGTTTCGTCAAATCCGCGAGAAATTCGGAGTGGCGAGCTGGTACATGGTCGGTGACATTACCAAATGCTACGATACAATCGACCATCACAAGCTGATGGCTCTGATTGAATCTAAAATTTTGGATCGTAAGTTTAGCCGTCTAGTTTGGAAGAGCCTCCGTGCCGGCTATTTTGAGTTTGACAATTCTCAACAATCTCTAATAGGTACACCGCAAGGCTCCGTGATTAGTCCGATCCTTGCAAACATCTTCATGGACCAACTTGACAAATTCATTGAGTCCAGCTTCATGAACTTGTTCATGAAGGGACTGATGAAAGGCTTTGATCAAGGGACTCATACTTGTAACTTCATACCCTGTCATCGCCTAAATGGGCGCCTGAATCACAGTATTGAAAACCTACCAAAGGAGGAAACTCGTAAGATTCCGATTCAGATGCGTATACTTCCCGCCCGGGACCCAATGGATCCGAACTTCCGTCGTCTAGTATACGTACGATATGTAGACAATTGGATCATAGGAATTCGCGGATCCCACGCCGAGATTGTCCACATCAAAACAAAGGTCGAGGAGTTCTTAAAGGAAAAAATGGGGTTGACCCTAAATGCAGAGAAAACCCTTATCACTCACGCAGAAACGGAGAAAGCACTATTTCTGGACACGTATATCTTTAAAGCTCAAGCGCGTATTACGCGAACAAGCTCTAAAGACTGCGTTATGAATAACGCTAAGGAAATTCGACTTGAAGCACCGATCAAGCATATTGTATCTAAACTGACCAAAGCCCACTTTGTTCGCGAGAGACGAAGCTGGCCTAAATTCATTTGGATACATTACTCCTTGGATCAGATTATCACACTTTACAACGCAGTGATCCGTAGATACATGAACTATTATTCCTTTGTAGATAATCGAGGAGCTCTGGCCACTTATGTGTACTACCTCCTCCGTGGTTCTTGTGCGAAGCTAATTGCAGCGAAAATGAAGTTGGCAAGTCAATTGAAAGTGTTCGAGAAATATGGCAAATTTTTGACGGTCAACGCAGAGAAAAATCTGTTCTTGCATAAGCCAGGTTACAAAAGACGACGTGGGTGTTCCAAATCGGCCATGTGAATTCTATTGTCAACCTCGAGGGCCGCTCTAGGGAGCCGTCTTTGGCGGCCCTCGCGGCCCTATACTCGATCCGTTTCTCCTGCGAGTCTTCTAGGCTTCGTCTGCGAGAGCCACCTAAGTGGCCCTCGGTGTGTGGTAGTGAATATCGTGTAGAGATGCACCATATTCAACATCTTAAGGACATTGAAGCCGGGAAGAACCTTCTTGACAAGCTTATGAAAAAACACAAATCAAAACAAACTCCCTAGAGCCTTTAGGCCTTAGTGTCCTCAGGGCCGAAGGCTAAGGCCACTAAGGTGGCCTTCGAGCCCCCTAAGGTGGCCTTCGAGCCCCCTAAGGGGGCTCTCGGGGGGTACCCCCCGGGCCGCTTTGGCGGCCTAAAGCCACTAAGATGGCTTTCGGGCCATCTGTGATGGCCCTCGAACCCCGAACTTGCACCGCAAATAGACAGTAATGAATCCAGTTGGTGGAGAGCCGTATGAGTCGAAAGGTTCACGTACGGTTCGGGAAAGGGCTCGGCCCTAAGAAAGCCGAGTCTAGTTCATCCCCGAATGAACAACATTAGTTTTTGGGTTCTGCCAAGTTCCATGACACTACTGCTACTTAGCAGCCTAGTGGAACAAGGAGCAGGTATTGGGTGGACCGCGCTTCCTCCTTTGAGCAGTGTGTTGAGTCACTCCGGAGCCTCTGTGGATCTGGCGATTTTGAGTCTACACGTTGCAGGGGTTGGAAGTATTCTAGGATCTATCAATTTCCTAGTCACAGTGGCCAACATGCGTGCTCAAGGCATGACCCCTTACCGTCTTCCTCTTTTTGTCTGGTCTCTTTGTTTCGTTAGCGTGCTACTAATCGGTAGCCTTCCCGTTTTTGCAGCAGGTCTAACAATGCTATTAACCGATCGCAATTTCAATACCAGTTTTTTCTTGCCAGCAGGTGGAGGTGATGTTGTCCTGTTTCAACATTTGTTCTGGTTTTTTGGTCGATTGATTATACCCTTCGCGTATATGTGGCCCTTTAGTCAAGTGATTGACTTTTTGCAGTGGGCTGTATGCTGGAAAGTGTTTGTCTTGGGCTGGGGCCCGGGGGACCTTAGGTCCCCGGGCCGCCAAAGCGGCCCTAAGGCCGGAGGCCTTCTAGGGGCCGCTGTCGCGGCCTCCCTCGCCATCTGTGATGGCCCTAGGCCCCCTAGGGCCCCTAAGGCCAAAGGCCTTCGGGACCTTAGGTCCCCGGGCCCTCGCCTTTGGCCCCATCAAAAATTGCTAGGGCCGAAGGCTCTCGGGCCTTTGGCCCTAGCCCTAGACACCTGGAACTTTACAATGTTTGTAAGTAGCCTTCAAAGCTCCTCTATTGTCACAACAAGTTTCAGTAACACCAATCAGCAGGTAACCAACGTGCTTTTTGCAGTCGTCATTAGCCGACACTTAAAGACACCAGTAGGAACCCCAGAGGCCGTATGCCCACCTGCAAGTTCTAAACCCTTAAAGCTTACGTCTACCCAGAAACACTTACGTTGGTGTCAATGGTTAGCTGGACTCATTGATGGAAATGGATGTTTTCTAGTCAGTAAAACCGGAGAGACCTCTCTTGAAATCATGGTTGCTTCTAAAGATGAAAGTTTAATTCGTCAAATTCAACATTCTTATGGAGGTTCCCTAAAACCTCGTGCAGGATTGAATGCTGTGCGTTATCGTCTTTGTAATCAAAAAAGCCTAACCACTTTGTGTATGGATGTGAATGGTTTCATCCGTCACCCAGTTCGCCTGTCTCAATATCAGAAAGTTTGTGAAAAACTGTTCTTGGTTGTGAAAACAACAGACGCATTAAACCCTGCCCACGGTTGGTTTGCTGGAATGTTTGACGCAGATGGATGTGTTACACTGAATACAGAGTCTACTTTTCCGCAAATCACTGTGAGTATTACACAAAAATATAAAGAAGTTCCTCAAGCTTTTGTAGAGACCTTTGGCGGAAGCCTTTATTTGGATAAAAGTCAAAACGGTTATTGGACTTGGGCCGTACAGTCCAAAGTTAAAGTTTTAGCTATGATTGATTATTTTGAAAAATTCACATGTAAAAGCACTAAACGTCAAAAGCTTTTTTTAACACCAAAAGTTTATGATTTGTTGGCCGCTCAGGCGCATTTGCCAGAGTCTAACAAACACTTTCAATCTAGTTTGCATAAAAAATGGAAAAAAATTATTGACCGTTGGCAGACTATTTCATACATTCTGATACGTTAATGAATTAAACTGGATTCTTTTGTTTGCCGTTTTTTGTCAAAAAACAAAGCAGCCCTTGTTTTAGACAGAAGAAAGTGTTCTTGTACTTATGTAGAAAAACAAAGAACAGCTTTCCGCTGAAACAGGAAAAGAGTTTTTTGTTCTTTGCAGAAAAACAAAGTGCCCTGTTTTTGGTTGTGTTTTCAAAGAAAACACAAGTATACCTTAGAAAAAACAAGCACATCTTTGCACACTTAGACAAAAGAAAGGGTTCTTAGACTTATGTAGAAAAACAAAGGACTGGTCTCTTTTTTCAGAAGAAAGAACTGTTTTGTTTTTTGACAGAAAAAACAAAAAGCTTCATTTGCCGTCTTAGCCGTCTTAGCCGTCTTATTTCTAGAAAAGCTTTAGGTTTGATTTTTCTATGAAAAAATCAAAGAAGAACTTGTAGAAGAGATGGCCCAATTCATGTCAATCTTATTTGAATGAATGCACCCAGAAGTTTACGTGTTGATCCTGCCAGCTTTTGGTATTGTAAGTCACGTGATTAGCTTCTTTTCCCGCAAACCTATTTTTGGTTATGTTGGTATGGTAAACGCCATGGCCGCTATTGCAATCCTAGGTTTCCTTGTATGGGCTCACCACATGTTTGCTGTAGGCTTGGATGTGGACACCCGCGCTTATTTTACAAGTGCAACCATGATTATTGCCGTGCCAACCGGGATTAAAATCTTTTCCTGGTTAGCAACTCTTTATGGTGGGTCTTTGTGGTTAACCACACCCATGTTGTTCGCACTAGGTTTCTTGGTGTTGTTCACCATTGGGGGATTGACAGGTGTCGTGCTTGCCAATGCAGGAGTCGACGTAGCTCTTCATGATAAACACTTGATTTTTTTTAAGAGTGGGGTTTTTTTGTGGAAAAATCTTTTACCACTAACCATGGGTCGAGGGCCGGGAGCCTTTGGCCCCAAAGGCCCTCCTAAGTGGCCCAATGAAAACCGCAAAATGTTTAACACAAACCAAATAAGTGTTTTTCTAATAAAGTACGTAACCAAAAACCAAAAGACTTTTTATTATAAATCTTTTTTCGTTGGATTAATAGATGCAGATGGAAGTATTCAAGTTAATCATTGGAAAAAAAAGTGTTTGCAATATCGAATAGTTATTAAACTTAAAAATACAACAACTAATCTACGAATGCTTCAAGAATTGCGAGAAAATCTTTTCATTGGAAATGTAACAATTTCCAAAAATAAAGAGTCTGTCTTATGGGTAGAAAACCATCAAAAAAACTTTCAAAAGATTTTAGAGATTTTTCATGATTGTCCACCATTAACCACACGTCTAATTCTTCAATTAGATTTTTTTAAACAAAATCTTAACAATCCAAACGTTGACCAATATTTACAAGAACGCTACCATAAATATCATAAACAAGCTCAAATGATTGAAAATCTCAAAAACAGAGAGTCTAGCTTTGTTCAAGAAACAGAGACAATCCTATCTTTCCTAGAAAAGGTTGAAAAATTGAAACATTTTCCCGCATGGTTTTCTGGATTTATTGAGGCTAAAGGATCTTTTTGTTGTAGAAACAAGTCTAGTAGTGTATTGTGTTTTAGCATTGCTCACAAAAATGATTTCTATCTTATTGAAGCTATTCATCGATACATCAATGCTCAAAACAAGATTCGATTTATTGAAAAAAAAAACATTTATTTCTTAGAAGTTTACAACCGTTCCGTGTTAATTTTCTTGAGAAACCATTTGAAAATCTATCCACTTATAGGTGAAAAAAAAAAACAATTTGAATTCTTTGAAAAAAACATATAAAACTATTGAAACAAAGCAAAAAAAAAAAGAAATAAGAGTTATTTTTTTTATTTGCTTTGTTTTTCATAAATAAGACTTTTTTCAAAAAACAAAGCTTTCCAAGTGTGTGTTAAACAAATTCATATCTTTTAAAATAAAAAAACACGCTTCATGAACTGGTTCATAAAGCAACGATTTCAAAAAAGTAAGTGTCATGATGTCAAACCGCTGTGGAACTTGTTTTTTATTGGAGAAAAAAACAAGTTCCGGTTATGAATTCACATTTAAGTTCACATTTAAGTTGAAGTTTAAACTTAAATTTAAGCTTAAGTTTAAAAACTAGATTCATAGCTAACGGGGAAATCTTTTTTTAAGGTTTGGCAAACCTTTTCAGTAGTTTTGAAAAAAGACAATCCCGTGGAAACCAAAAAAAAGATTTGAGTTTTTTCAAAGAAAGCTAGAGTTTTTTCAAGTAGGATCCGTAGAGACTCTACGCGGTTCTTAAAATAGAATTGAGTTTCAAAATTTTAAGAAGAGAGAGTCCGATCCCTTGGGTAACCAAGGATATGGTTTGTTTTTGAAAGAGGCACGCTTCATGAACTTGTTCATGAAGTGAAGCGCTTGAACAGCACGAAGTCCTCTTTTCCCAAAAGAACTGCTTTATTCTTTCAGAAACAAAGTTCTTGCTTTGGTTTTTCTTTAAAAAGCCAAGGAAAACTTTTTTGTTCTTTAAAGAGCCTGAAATTGGGTCAATCAATGACTTACTATGTTGTTGCCCATTTTCACTATGTGTTAAGCATGGGTGCGCTGTTTGGTATCTTCTCTGCGTTCTACTTTTGGGTAGGGAAACTGACTGGGTGTTTGTATCCAGAGCAGAATGGTCAAATCCATTTTTGGCTGTTCTTTATTGGAGTCAATCTAACCTTTTTCCCTATGCACTTCCTTGGGCTCGCAGGAATGCCACGACGATACCTAGATTACCCAGATGCCTTTGTAGGATGGAACGTTGTAGCAAGTTTTGGAAGTTATGTAAGCTTTATTAGCTTTGTGTTCTTCTACTACATTGTTTATCAAACATTGGCTGAAGGGCCAAAATCTGCGGACAATCCGTGGCAAGTTACCAATGAAAATGAATCTGCTGTAGGTCAAAAAGTCTCCAGTTTGTTGACACCAGTCGACGGGTTAGAATGGCAGTTGCCAAGCCCTCCGGCCTACCATACCTTTGGAGATGCTCTTCCAGTGATTCGTGAAACCCCTATGAGCGGTAGCGTGATGCATTCATTTAAATGATTTTCTAATTGCTTGAAAAAGCACATTCTTAGGTTGAAAACAAAAGCCAAGGTTCAGAAGAGTTCAAAAGACATCAAAAACGTTCTTCATGAACAAGTTCAGAATGTTGTGGTTTCACAAACAAGTTCGTGAAAAATATGCTTGAAGCTCGCTGGACATAATCGATGTGGAACCATCCTCGATGGCTTAGCCACCTAAGGTGGCTAGGCCGTCTAAGACGGCCTCGTTATCGAAGATGGCAAGACGTCTATGACGTCTTGGCATCTATGATGTCGAGGGCCACTTAGATAGCTCGAGGGTTATCATAGATGACCCTAGCGCCATCAAAGATGGCACCCTGGACATGGTCGCTGTTCCGCGACCTTGGTTCGAGGGCCACTTAGGTGGCCCTCGGCCTTTAAGCCCTATAGGAACCAAAAGGGGCCTTAGAGCCGAGGGTCTTTAGGGCCCCTAAGGGGGCCCTCGGGGGGTACCCCCCGGGCCACCAAAGTGGCCCTCGAACCCGAAGGCCAAAGGCCTTAGGGCCATCTTTGATAGCCCTCGCCTTTGACCCTATGGACCCTAAGAGCCTTGCTCTCGAAGCAAAGTTCCCTTAGAGAGCCGAAGAATTCATTTCTAGGTTTCTGTTCAACTGAACTTGACTTGAAGGGTTTATGGTCTCTCTTTAGTTAGATTTGTTTCAAATAACTCAACTCGAAAGCTTTGCTCTCCAAGCAAAGAATACTTGCTGCGCTCTTACGCATCAAAGAAATACTGGATGCCCCTCAAGGGCATCAGTATTTGCTGATGTTCTTTAGAACATCAGCAAAAACCCCCTGTGAGTTCCTAGTGAACTCGAAGCCGACTTAAAGGGTTTGGATTCGATGCTAGCTTGCTCTAGCGCAGTGCAATGCGTTATGTTTTTAACAGCGATTATTAGCCCATTCTTGGGAAGCTTCGCAGCAGGGCTTGGTGGCCGCTGGATAGGTGCTCGTGGTAGCGGATTGATCACCGTCTTAGGTTTAGGTACCAGTGCAGTATGTAGCCTGTGTGTTTTGTTAGAAGTGTTGGTTGGAGGTGTGTGCTGTTGCGCTGTTGTTTATGTTGTGAATGAAAATTCATCTACACCGTCTTTGCGTTTTGTAGCTAAGCAATTCCCTAAATGCCATTGGAAACGATGGAGTTCAAAGCAGGATTCAAAGCCATGTAAGTGACGAGGGCCGCCTATGCGGCGAGTCATCATAGATGTCTAGGGCCTCTGGGCCCTAGACATCTATGATGACCCTAGCGCCATCCCAGATAGCGCAAAAGTTGTCATAAGATACATTGGTAAGCTAGGGTTGGTAGAGCTATGGTCGATGACTAAGCCATAGGTGATGTCCGAGCCATCTTTGACGGCTTAGCCACCTTTGGTGGCTCGGTCGTCTTAGACGGGTTAGCCACCAAAGGTGGCTAGGCATCATAGATGGCGGAGCATCTTTGATGTCGAGCTATCTTCGATAGCTAGCCATCAGAGATATCTAGGGCCACTTAAGTGGTCTTCTAGTCATCGACCATGGCTAGGCTAAGTTAATGAACCTGATATACGTTGTCCGTGAAACCAGCACAATAATTCATACCTTTTTCGATGAGCTAAGAGCCGTCTTGGATGGTCGAGCTAGCGACCATTGCTAGCGCATCAAACATCTGCTTGATGAACTCGTTAGTGTATTAGAATTATTTGGCACATGGCTTTCCTACAGCCTCCAAGAAAAGTTTTGCAAAGATAGTGAACCGGTAGACCATCTGATAGTGGCTCAAAGGCCTTAGGGGCTAAAGACCCTTTAGAGCCCCGGAGGGCCGCCAAAGCGGCCCTAGGGCCTAAAGGCTCTCGGACCTTTAGGTCGAGGGTCTTGGGCCAAAGGCCCACTAGAGCCCTTAAGGGGCTCTCGCCTTCGGCCCTATAGACCCTAAAGCCCCTTTAGGGGCCCTTGTCTCACGGCCCTAGACCGTGTCGAGGCCATCGACCGCGGACGAGCCACCTTGCCAGATGGCAAAAACGTACAGGGGCCTAACCCAACCAATTCGCATAAACAACGGAACTGCAGGATTGCTTAAGAATATGCTTGATGCGAGGGCCCCTCAGGAGGGGCCTAGAGGGCCTTAGGGCCCTCCGAGCCATCTTTGATGCTCTTGAGTCATTTTTAATGGTCGAGGGCCTAAGGTCCCTCCGCGCCACTCCACCGTAGGTGGCTAGGCCGTCTTAGACGGCCTCGTGGCACACTAGGGCCTTTAGGCCCTCTAGGCAGCCGCCTAGAAGCGGCCCTCGGGTCCCCCGAAGGCCTCTGGCCTTAGGGCTCCTTAGTGGGCCCTCGCCACTTAGGTGGCCCACAAGTTATCTTTGATGACTAGGGCCGAGGGCAGAGGGCCTTTAGGCCTTAAAGGCCTTTTTGGTTCCTATAGAGCCTAAGAGGGCCTTCGCTAGGGCCCCTAAGGGGGCTCTCGGGGTCTTGGGCCACTTAGGTGGCCCACTAGAGCCCTTAAGGGGCTCTCGCCTTTGGCCCTACCCCGCCCTAGAAGGCCACCTTAGTGGCCTTAGGAGGGACCCCTAAAGGGTCCCCTAAAACGGCCTGGGGGATCGAGGGCCTTTGGCCCTACCCCGCTATAAACCACCTAAGTGGCCCCGGACATTAAAGATGTCCGAGCCGCCAAAGCGGCTGTAGAGCGCATCAAGCCACAATTTCATGAACTTGTTATGAAAAAACCGAAAGGTATAATGGGAACGGAGCTGTCATAGTAGGGACAATATTAGGTAATACTAATCGTGCAAAGGAACGGGGTTTCACATAACAAGGATTTGCTTGTTTTTGCTTGTGTTTTCGAAGAAAACACAAGTATTGCTTGGTTTTTCTTTAAAAAACCAAGTATACCTAAGGAAAAAACAAGACATCAAAATAACTCAAAAATATTCTCTAAAATTCGCACTTCCGAAGGATAGCAGGCGATTAGTTTGAAAATGAATTAATAATCTTTTAATGAATGATAAAAAATCTATATAGCAAGGATTTTACTAACATTGAAAATGTTAGGAACACAAAGTGTGTTTTAGCCCTAACAAATACAAATAATTATGTGATTCGCCCCGATCTAATAAATAAAAACCCGATCAAAGATATTAGTCACTCTAATAGACTGATCGTGGCTTATAAACTTCTCAAATTCAAACCGGGGAACACGACTCAGTAAGAGTTCCATTGAAGAAACCCCCCTTCGGGGTGGGATAGGCCGTCGAAGACGGGCTAGCTATCTTTGATAGCTAGGCATCTGAGATGCCTAGCCACTTAAGGTGGCTAGCCCGTCAAAGACGGCCTCAGCCATCTAAAGATGGCTCAGCCGTCTTTGACAGCCTAGACATGGTCGATGATTCTCGAACCAACAACATTCGAAAAAAAAACAAGAGCTCTAGTTAAATCAGAAAGTAACGAAACGAAAAAGTTTGGAATAATTACATTGATTAAAAGATTAGATTCAACAACCCTCTAATATCTAATCGCGGGCGAGCCGTATGAACTGAAAGGTTCAAGTACGGTTCTGAGGGCAGTTTAAGAGCCGCTAAGGTGGCCCTCGTACCTAGGGCCTAAAGGCGAGAGCTCCCTTAGGGGCTTTAGAGAGCCCCTAGGCCCTAGCCACACTTTGGTAGCCCATAAGCAGACTTTATAAAGGAAATTGTCTCTATGGAGACTCTCCTCTCTAAAAATTCTGTCTTTATGAATCTTCTTCTGACCTCTACTCTCCAGTGACAGTGTCCTTGGGTTCTTGGTTCCAAGGCAGTACTGTTCATGTAACTTGGCTTTTCTCTTTTGACAGCCTGACGGCTTGCATGATGGTTACAGTTACAGCGGTAAGTTTTTGTGTTCACCTGTACAGTTTGGGTTACATGCAAAACGATCCGCACTTGCCTCGGTTTATGAGCTATCTAAGTTTGTTTACAGGAGGTATGCTGGTTTTGGTGGCGGCCAATGACTTGGTAACTCTATTAGTGGGTTGGGAATTGATTGGTGTTTGTAGCTATCTACTAATTGGGTTTTGGTTTCATCGCTTAAGTGCAACCAAGGCGGCAATGAAAGCAGTTTTGGTAAATCGAGTGAGTGATACAGCCCTTCTGGTAGGCTTGATGGGCTTCTGGTGGTATCTGGGCAGTACGGACTTGTCTTTGCTGGTTGCCACCAGTACATCTGCCTCTTATACAGATTTTCTATGTGCAATGATCCTAGCAGGAGCCTTAGGTAAATCTGCGCAGATCGGGTTGCACGTCTGGCTTGCCGACGCCATGGAAGGTCCAACCCCGGTCAGTGCCCTGATCCATGCGGCGACTCTAGTCACCGCGGGAGTTTATCTGATTGCGCGAACCAGCTCTGTTTGGGAGTGTAGTGTTTGGGGTCGCAGTGCTTTGGTATGGGTTGGTGCCTTAACCAGTTTGATGGCTGCCACAATGGGTCTGGTTCAAACCGACCTGAAACGTGTTATTGCTTACTCTACGTGTAGCCAGCTAGGCTATATGATGGTAGCCTTAGGATTGAGTCATTATGGGTTAGCAGTGTATCACTTAATGACTCACGCATGCTTTAAAGCCCTATTGTTTTTGGGTGCTGGGGTGGCCATCCACGCCACTGCAGACGTACAAGACTTGCGCAGACAAGCAGGAGGTGGGGCTCACCAAGCATTACCGTTCACATGGGCGTGCTTGTTGCTTGGGAGTTTAAGCTTGATGGGTTGGCCTTTCTTAGCTGGTTACTATAGTAAGGATGGGATTCTTGAATTGGCATGGGCCACTCAAGGTGCTGAAGGCGTTTATTCCCATTTTATCTTAATGGCTGTGGCCGCTTTCACCAGTGCTTATAGCTTTAAAGTTTTGCTGGCCTCTTTTGTTTTTGCTCCAAATGCTCGAAAACTCGAGATCAGCCATCCAGGTCTTCCTTACACCATGTGGATTCCTTTGATTATTCTGGCTTTAATGAGCGTGTTGGCCGGTTACGGGTTCAGCGATGCTTTGATTGGGTGGGGAACTTCCTTTTGGAACATTAGCTTACAAGGAACACCTTCTAATCTTGAGGCAGTCAGTAGCCATATGATTCCCTTATGGGTGGCCTGGTTACCTTTTGCCACTGCGTTCATTGGCCTAGGGTTAGCATATTCTTATGCTTGGCCTATGCCTTGGTGCGCCGAGGCTTTTCAAAAGAGTTTGGTCTTGTTCTTACAGTCTCGCTGGTTGTTTGATCAAGTGTGGAATCAATGTGTAGCCGCGCCTGTGTTGAACCTGGGTGTCTATACCTGGAAATCTCTTGACAAAGGATTCCTGGAAGTGCTGGGTCCCCGTGGACTTACTCAAGCAGTCAGCGAGTGGGCAGTGCCTTCTCTCAAAAAATGGCAAAGTGGAGCGGTCCAAGACTACGCCCTTGTGAACCAAGGAGTTGTGGTCTTGGGGCTTTTGGCGCTTGCCTATGCAAGCAGTGGATTGGGTCTTTATGCCTTTGACTCTTCCATGGAAAGTGCTCTCTTTGAGAGTCAGGGTACATGGTTCAACAACCCGAAAGTCTATACACTCGCGCTCTTTTTGCTTGTAGGAAGTCTTTAGGGTATGCTTGATGGTCTAGGGCCTAAAGGCCCTCGGGTAAACCCCCGGGCCAAAGGCCCTAGAGGCCCAAAAAGTCTTAAGAGTCCTCAAACCCCTTCATATGCACTTTTTTTGAGACCATTGTCAATTAATGGGTCAATCAATAAATCCGTCAATGCATCAATTAATAAATTTTTGAAAAAAAACCTAGAGCTCTAAGCTCTACAACCTAAACCCTATGACTAGGGTGGTTTAATTGAGCTTTCGGTTCTTCAGTTTTAAAATCAAGAAACCTTTGAGAATTGTCAAAACAAAAGTGCCAGGTTTAATCTTCTGGAAAAAAGAATACCTTCTTTGAATGGTTTTATGCGCTCAAGTACATAAAAAATATCCCAGGTGTTCTTTAGAACACCGACCGTGTCTCAGATGTTCTTTAGAACATCGACCAGGGCGGGGCGAAGGGCCGCCTAAGCGGCCGCGAGGGCCCCTTTGGTGGCCCTAGAGGGCCTTTGGCCCTAGACCCCCAAAGGGGTCCCGAAGGCCACCCCACCAGAGGTGGCGAGTGGCCTTAGAGGGCCGCTTTGGCGGCCCTCCCGGCCCTAGACCCTTTAGAGGTCCCTAAGGCCAAGGGCCTTCTAGGGCCACCTAAGTGGCCCTCGTCCCCCCGAAGGCCTCTGGCCTTAGAGGGCCTTTAGGCCCTAAGGCCCTAGATGCTCTAGGGCACTTCAAGCACATCTTTGTTTTTTCGAAGAAAAATTAAGAATACCCAAATGTTCTTTAGAACATCGACCATATCCCAGATGGCCCTAGAGAACATCGACCAGGGCCTTGATAACTTTTAAGTTATCAAGCATATCTCAAATGTTCTTTAGAACATCGACCACAGCTTTTTTTTTTAAAGTTGCTTTTTTTCTCCTGAAAAAAGCTAAACAGACCAGAACCTAGGAACTTCATCAATAATAAAACGTACTACAACTATGATTAGTATAGGCTGAATTGCAATCGAAGGTCTTTAAACACTCACCTTCCATTCTAGCTTTACTGGAAGAGCTTAACAGTTTTAGAAATCTCACAAAAACTCTAAAAAAAGAGCGACCTCGACGGGATTCGAGCCCGTGTTTACGCTGTGAAAGAGCATTGTCCTAACCACTAGACGACGAGGACATTGGGTTGGTGCTTTGAAAAAAAAATCAAAGCACTGCTTTCTAGGGGTCAGAAGAAGATCCGTAGAGACAGAGTAATTTTAGAGAACAAGTTTCTAAAATTTTTTTTTTAGGATATACCTCGTGCGCTTTAGCGCGTGAAGCATACTCTTGATGCCCCTAAGGGCATCAAGGCACTGCTTGATGCCCCTAAGGGCATCAAGGCACTGCTTGATGCCCCTTAGGGGCATCAAGGGTACTTCAAACTATCTTCAGAACCGTATTTGAACCTTTCAACTCATAGGACTGGCTTGCTGCTAGAATTGTGAAACTGTTTGTAAATGTTGGTTTTTGTCAATATTGATTCCTTACTTCCAAAGTAATACTATAACCGCTGCTTTCCAGTAACGTTACAACCTCTGGTTGTAATATGTTGCTGGGAAGTTATAGTTTCCAGTAGATTTCACAACAAGCTCTACTAAAGGAGTAATTATTTCAGCTGAGAAACTCGATTGTCGATCTTTGATTCGAGGGCCGTTGGTTCCTAAAGAAACTAATAGGCCCTTTAGGCCTTACAGGAACCAACCAGCCTCAGACAGCGACCATGGCTCAGCATCGACCATGTCCTCAGCCATCTAAAGATGGACCGTTAGGTTGTCTTTAATGAACGAGCGCCGCCTTAGGCAGTCCTTTAGCGCATGAAGGACATGCTTGATGCCTTTCAAAGGAATCAAAGTAAGTTTTCAGTTACAACAGAAGCAACAGCAGAATGGCACAGATGACCTACCAAAACAAGTTAATTAAAAGTTTGGTGTGTCTGTTGGAAACACGCGGAATCGAACCGCGACTTTCTGCATGCAAAACAGACACTCTACCATTAAGTCATATTCCCGGATGGGTTTTCTATCAAAACCTTTAGGCTTTTATAGAAAATCTGTAGGATGTGGTTGATAACGTTTAGGTTATCAGAGATGTGGTCGATGTTCTAAAGAACATCTGGGATTTGGTTGATAACCTTTGGGTTATCTAGGATTTCCTTGATGCCCTTGGGGGGCATCAAGACTTTTTTCATTAAAACTTTGAAGCTTTCATCTAAAATCTATAGGCTTTCATAGAAAGCCTTGAAACTTTCATTCTGATCTTTCATTCTGATCTTTGGTTGAAAACTTGTAGGCTTTTTTTATTAAAAACTTTTAAGCTTTCAGGGCCATTTTTGATGGCCTTCGAGAAAACAAACGTCTGCTCTTATTAAGAGCTAAAGCTTCAATTAGGGTTCGAGGGCCTAAGGGCCTTCCAAGCCCTAACTCGAGCAATAAAAAAAAATTCTGAATTCACAGTCTTTTGTTGATTGTGAATTGGTCAACTTTTGAAAAAGAGTTGGTTTTGAAGAAGATCTTAACTGCATCAAATTTTTTTCTTTTCTGAAAAGCATAAAGCTTTCACAGAAAAAAGTTAAGTTTGAAAAAAGAGAAACAACAAACTCAAAGCAAGAAGAAACAATGGGATTCATCAAAGAGACCAAAGGGCTTCTCTTTAGAAACCGAATCACTCTGCATTCGAAGCATTTTGCAGAAAACCTAGGATTTTCGGCCGTCTGTTAGACTTAAGCTACTTATTCATGCATAATCACTTCGGACATGTCCAAAAAACTTGACAATTTTTCTTCTTCCTAATACCGAACGTTTGGCTACCTGTGTGTGTAAAAAAAAAAAGCATAGATAAAAAAAAGAATCAAATAGAAAAAAGTTTGTATAAAAAAAGTTTCTTTCGGTTAAGAGACCGCATCAAATATCTTTTCACGTTCATGAAGGAGTGCAGAGCGGTGATAGTCATAGATGCCTAGCTATCTTTGATAGCTAGCCCGTCGACCACGGCCTAGGGCTCGACGGCCTTTGGGCAATCTAAGATTGCCCACTAGGCCGTCGACCGAGGGCCACTTTGGTGGCCCTAAGGCCAGAGGCCTTCGGGGTACCCCCCCGGCCTAGACAACGACCGTGGCGAGTCATCGAAGATGGCAAGACGTCATAGACGTCTTGTCCGTCAAAGACGGCCTAGGCCGTCGAAGACGGGCTAGCCATCGAAGATGGCTAGGCATCTAAGATGTCCTCGCCATCTTCGATGGCTTAGCCCGTGGTCGACGGCCTAAGCCACCAAAGTGACCTTAGCTATGGTCGCTAGTTCGATATTAAAGATGTCCGAGCCGCGGTTGCGGCCTTTCTCAAATAACAGAAGAAAGCTCAAATCATGACTTGCTTGAAAGCTTAAATAAAAGCTTACTCAAAAGCGCATTCTTTGATCTTTGGCTTTCAGCTAAAGCCGATTTAGCTGGTTTTTTTGGCTTTAAACAAAAGCCGACTCTTTGTGTGACCGCCAGAAGGTTTTTAGGCTCTAGGGCCTAAGGCCGAAAGCAAGTCATGTGAAAAAAAAGTGTTGTTTCGTACAACCAAGCCAGTCTTTACAGAAGTACACTTGTTGCCGATCCACGTGGTAGACTTCCACGAATTTAGAGACCTGTTTTGACAAATCTTTCCCACTTCAGATGCCTTCAGCGGTTCTGATGTCCAACTTAGCTGCCCGGCGATACTGCAGAAACAATAACCGGTAGACCAGAGGTTGGGACCCCTCCGGTCCTCTCGTACTGGGGGGTCTGAGTCTCAGTCTAATTTAGCACAGATAGGAACCGTACTGTCTCACGACGCACTAAACCCAGCTCGTGTGCTGCATTAAAGGACGAACAGTCCTACCCTTTGGACCTTCTGCAGCCCAAGGACGCAACAAGCCGACATCGAGGTGTCAAACCAGCTCGTCGATAGGGAGTAGGGGTCAGAAGAAGTTCCATAGGGAATGCTCTGGTCTTTAGACCAGAGGAATGCTCTGGTCTTTAGACCAGAGGGAATCCCTTTAGGTTCTGAAACTGCCCTCAGAACCGTACGTGAACCTTTCAATTCATACGGCTCGCCAGATGTTAATACAAAGGTTTTTGTGGTTAACGATCTTGCTTTTCTTGGGGAGTGCAAAAAATTTTTACACGGTTAGATTTTTCATCTAACGTTATCCCTGTTAAGATAGCTCCGTTCCCATAGGACTTTAGTCCGTTAGGCAATCCCATAGTTCCGTTGTTCTTGCGTTCTTTTTTCCTGGTTTAGGCTCCCGTACGTCTTTACCATCGGGTGGCTCCTGATTCACAATCTTCGCTGGATTTTCCATGAAGAGTGTTAGAAAGTCCTGTGTCAAATAATTCTTAAGGGAGAATATGGCCGATGTTCTAAAGAACATCTAGGACATGGTCGGTGTTCTAAAAAACACCTGGGACATGCTTGATGTGTCTTTAGCACATCAAGGATATGCTTGATGCCCCTCAAGGGCATCAAGGTATGAATTACTGCGCGGCTTTATCACGGACGACGTATGTGTTTCGGGTTCATTAACTTAGCCATGCCAAGACTAGCTTACCAATGCCTGTTGGTGGTATCTTCCCCACTCACATGGCTTTCTTTCCCGCTTAGAACTCCGTCGTTTTCGACGGCATTCAGGGAAGTGCTTTACTACATAGAAGCGAAGATGATGTAGGTGAACTCTCGTTCACAGCACAGAACAACGGCACAATGGCGCACCTCTAGGAGCCGATGAACCTGTTATCCCTGGCGTACCTTTGATCCGATGATCAGTGGTTTTTCCACACCAAACCACTGGGTCACTATCGCCTACTTGCGTACCTGTTCGGAGAGTGTTCCTTACAGTCAGGCTAGAGAAATGGATTGCCACAAAATCTTACCCATGAAAGGGGGATTTCTAACCTTGGCGCGCCTCCGATACTGTTTTGGAGGCCTCCGCCCCAGAGAAACTCCCACACTGTCTGACCAAAAACAGAACTTTCGCCTAGGATTAAAGGCCTCATTAGGGTTGCTCCAAAGAGCGATGGCCTCTGGAAGGCCCTTAGGGCCCTAAGCTGAGAGTGAGTTGAGTGTGTTCAAACAGAGTTTGAACAACGCCTTCACAGTTCCTTTTTTTGGAGCTGCTCTTCTTCAAAAGGGTGGTCTCTCATTTGTCTTTTCTATGAAATCAGAAAAGTCCCACCTAGACTGAACTCCTGAAGTAAGAACAGCAACAACAGCTTGAAGTCAAGGTGCCAGGGTCTTATCGTCCCGTGCTAAATCTCTCGCCTCTTCACGAGAATGTCAAGTTCGCTGGCGACTCGGGAGAGACAGCAGAACAATCATTCCGCCATTCATGCAGGCCAACAATTATTTGGCAAGGAATTTCGCTCATAGGTTTAAAAATTGTCAGAAACATTTTTAAACACTTTATAGATTTTATTCTTTTTTTGCGAAATCTATAAAGCCTTGATTTTTGTTTGTTTTTCTGTGAAAAACCAACAAGAGTCAAGCACGCTCTCTTCTTTTTCAAGTATTTATTATAAGGTTTCTTTTGTGACAAATAAAAACTGCATGAAAAAATTGATTTCATAATCAACAAGTAAAGAAAAAACACAAAAAATTTTGTTATTTAACAGAATTCTCATATTTATCGAATTATATAATAAATAGTTTTAAATTAAACGCTCTATTCTGATTGACAAATCAGAATAAAAAGAATAATGATTAAAACAAGAGTTGGACTCTATCTTCAAATAACAAATTCAAACTTCTCAAAAATACATCACCATGTAGCCTTTCTAAACAAATTTAGAAAACATATCCTTTTCAACTAACTTCACTATAAGGAATTTTTTTTGCAAGTTCCAAACATTGAACAAAACCTTCTTCCTTCAAATGTACTTTTTGTTTGAGTAAGAAACAAAGCTTTCGGAAGCGAAGAAATTCCACTTTTTTTTGAGTTTTCAAAAAATGTTTTTCGAAAAAGGGAATAATTTTACCACATAAATCGCTATTTTTTCGAACACGATATGTTATTGTATCATCTGTTGCATCTTTATCTTTAATTTTGCTAACAGCTCCACAACCAAATACAGCTTTGATTTTATACAAAAGATCCACGTCACGTTTATGTTGTGTAATCACAAATTCCGGTTGAATTTGCATTTTAAAGCGAAAACTTTTATTAGTCATTATGTTAGCTCGAAAGTATCCTTCTCCATCTACAAAACCTACAATCCACATAGAATGAAGTTTGACAGTCATTATTTAACAAGGATGTGCTTGTTCTTTCTTAGAAAGAATAAAGATATCTTTGTTTTGTCTAAGACAAAATAAGGACATGGTCGGTGTTCTAAAGAACACCTGGAACATGGTCGGTGTTCTTTAGAACACCTGGGACACGCTTGTTTTGTCTTAGACAAAACAAGGTTTGAGATTCTATTTGATTTGTTATTTGTTAAGCGTTTGGTCTCTGAGGGTTTAAGCTTTTTAATTTTTTTACTAAAAAACTTATCTTCCCTGCTGATTGCCCATTGTATTATCTTTCAAATTGTTACAAAAAAAAGTAGCACTTTTCACAGAAAAGTACAAACTCAGCTGTGAAATAGCTGAGGAAATCTTTTTTGTATTGAAAGCTTTAGGGGTTTCCAGCATATAGCTTAATTTTACTAAGGCAGCGAGCAGGTTTTTTACCTTAGAACCATATTCCGATAGGTAAGCCCTTTCAGGCTTTCCCCCGGCCACAACCGTGCGTGCGACTTTCGCCGCACACGGCTACAGCGACAGGCTTTTTACTTTTTGTTGGGGGTTTTCTTTTAATTTGTTGTTCAGTTGAACTAATTTGTTGATCTGTTGAATCAATCCCATTTCTGTAAATCGCGCTTTTAATGCAGTCTTTTTAGTATAAGTAACCTGAAGATGACATTCCATATGGAGTGCTACCAGGTTTTTGGCATCGGGGACGAGGGCCACTTAGGTGGCCCGGGGGGACCCCCGAGGGCTTTTAGGCCCTAAGACCACATTGCTTCCCCCAAGTTTCTTGGCGATCTTCTGATGGATTTCCATAGGTTCTTCATCTTCGATTGTTTGTAGGCTAACCGGGCAAAAACTTTTTGCTTTTTTCAGCAGGTCCCAGGACGTCCGTTAGATGGGTCTGCTTTGACGAGTTTTCCATCTTTGCGAATCTAGGGCCGCTTAGACGGCTAGGCCGTCTTAGACGGCGATAATCATCGAAGATGATTCGCCACCTGCCACCTACGGTGGGTGGCCCTCGTCATCTTTGATGGCAAGACGTCATAGACGGCCTTGGACATCTTAGATGTCTTGGGCCACTAAGGTGGCCCGAAGGCCTTTGGCCTTAGGGCCTCGTTGGTTCCAAGGGGAACCAAAGGCCCTAAGCCACTTAAGTGGCCGTTGGTTTTAGGGCCACTAAGGTGGACCTCTTAAAGGTCTAGGGCCAAAAGCCCTCTAGGGCCACCAAAGTGGCCCTCGCGGCCGCTTAGGCGGCCCCTCGCCTAAAGGCCCTAAAAGGAACCAAAAGGGCCGTTAAGGGCGGCTTTCAACCAGCAAAACTATTGACCAAATTACTCCTCTGGCTTATTCTGAAGAAGTTTTAATGTACCCTTATCTGCATTTTTATAAGCTACTACAATTCCGTGTTGCAATTGGGCAATCAAAGATTGCCCACGTGCAACGATTTCATAGCATCTCTGCCAGTCAATGCTGCACCAGTTCCACACAATTTCTATTTTTCATCGAAGAGCCACCTAAGGTAGCTCTCAGTCCATCTTTAATGGACCTCGTTAAATGGGATTCTGTTTTTGCCTACTGCCTTTTGGAGTCAGGTAGGTATCTAGGACTGATTTTGCTCAGGATATGTAGCCCCGTCACCCATTGGACAAGTGGGCCACCTTTCGGTGTAGATCATAAGATCTTATCTCTGTGATTACAGCAGAGCCTTTGCTTATTGTCCAGGCTTCTACCCCCTGCTCGATAGTTCAAATTGCTTTGAACTCTCTTGAAATTCAAGAGAGCATGGGGCTTACCTTGTTCCAATATAATATTGTTACGATTTCTGTTAGGGTCCATCTATACACCATGGGCTTGATCTTACGATCTGACCAAACTGATGGGTCAACTCTGGCGACCCACCCAAGCCCAAGCCGTTATTTCAACCTCCGGCCATCGTGGTGCCTCAAGCGATGGTTCACTTTCATTACCCATGAGAATCTTCACCTAGCTCAGGATCGTCCGGAGGTCAAACGTCCTGTTACATTGTTCTAGAAGCTTCACACAATTCAATTACTCGTATTGCATGTTCTAGTAGGTTAATTAGGTTGGCTCTAATTATGGAATTTCACCATATTATTATATTAGCTTATCAAGTCGCACCAGAGTTATGGCTGCCGTTTACCGGTCCTTCTGTTTATATACTTGCATATACTAGACTTATCTCCCGGCACCGGGCAGGCGTCAGGCTTTATACGCAGTGTTTCCACTTTGCAAAGCCCTGTGGTTTTAATAACCAGTTGTCGTTCTCTCTTTAGTGACACCTTTATTAAGGTCTAGCTTCTTCCGAAGTTACGCTAGTATTTTGCCGAGTTCCTTTCCCGAGTGTCTGCCTTAGCCTTTGCTTATTCAGCTTATCCACCTGTGTTGGTTTAGGTACGGTATTGTTTATGGTTTATGAGGCCCTGCTTGATAACCTAAAGGTTATCAAGGCACGCTTCATGAATAAATTCACGAAAGGGCCATTCTTGAAGCACTTCAAATTATTCTTGTTTGAACAAATCAGCACTCTTCAAGATTCTCCAAGAACCGCAGTTCAAAATCTTTGAAGTCTTTTCCAGGTTGCTCTTCTTTTTTCAAACAAAAGTTCTTTGTGAATTCATACTTTTTAAACCTTATTGAACTCTAAGCTCGAGGGCCACCTCGAGCGGCCCTCGTCATGGTCGATGACTAGGGCGCCATCTTTTATGGCCGAAGGCCTAAGGGCTCTCCAGGCCACTTTAGTGGCTCTAAATTGCTGAGCGCTTGCTCAGCGATTTTATTCAAAGCGCCAGAGACGCAATGTTGACAGGAACAGGAAGGGCTTGAACCTATGACCACTGATGGCTGATGTGCATATATGTGATGAAAGGATAAATAGTCTCTCTAAAAATTTCTTTGTATGATGAACGCAGGAGAATCCTAATAACCAAATGGGGTTATTTGATTATTTGATTATTTGATAAGTTATTGAAAAATAACTTAAATTAAATATTTTGGTAATTCAGTGATTTGGTAATTTGACTTTGGCAAAGAGTCTAAAACTCTTCGGGTTTTTAGGCCTTAGGACATCACAAGAGCCGCAGTTCAAAATCTTTGAAGTCTTTTCCAAATAGCTCTTCTTTTTTCAAACAAAAGTTCGTTGTGAATTCATACTTTTAAAATCATATTGAACTCTAAGCACGAGAGCCATCGACCATGCCTAGCTATTTTCGATAGCTAGGCATGGTCGATGGCTCGTGCATTTAGGATATGCTTGAAGCTGGCTAAATCATCGACCATGAGCTAGCGAGTTTCAACAAAATGTCTTATTTACTGTCAAGGCCACGTCTCATTAGCGCGTTCGTGAAAAAAATACAAGGACCGTTTAGAGCATGAAGGACATGCTTCATGCTTTAGAAGACATGAAGGCGAACAATCGCACTTTATCATAAAGATAAAGTGAAATTTAAGTCTCAGCAGCACACGCTGAAATTCAAAGAGTTCTTTAAAGAGTTTTAACATTTATTTTGGTTATGAACATTAATTTGGCAAAAGTGAAAGGCCAATGAACTTCTCAGAAGATTCCTTAAAAGATTTCTGTTAAAGATTCAATAAAAGGTCTCTTAAAAGGTTTCTGTTAAAATTTCAATAAAAGATCTTTCTAAAGGATTAAAAGTTTCAATGAAAAGTCTCTCAAAACATAGACTTAATCAAAAATTTGACCTCTTCATGACGTTGTAATGAAGAGTTTGTTTTTTTTTCTAGTTCTTAAAATGAGCTAAACAAGATCAAGAAGGCTACCAACAGGGTAAATAGCGCAATGCTTTCACATAGCGCAAAACCGAGTAGGGCATAACCCATCAATTGTTTCGCCATTAGGGGGTTACGTCCTGCGCTTTGGATCAAAGCTGCAAAAACGATACCAATCCCTGCTCCTACACCTGCTAATGCAATCAGAGCACTTCCTGCTCCAATAAGTTTTGCTGCTTGTACCATAGGATATTATTGCAGAAGGGAATCCCTGTAATTGCAGTGAATGGATTCGAACCATTATCGTCGGGTCATGAGCCCGATGAGTTCTCCAGTTACTCTACACTACAAAGAAGAGACCAAACTAGTTTTGTCTTTGTTTCT